TTTTACAATTACCAAGTATTTTTTACATGATGTATCTGAGGATAGATAAAGATAAGACAATACAAAGAAAAATGAAAACGTTTCGACGCATTCTTTTTATAATATAAACGTTGATTTTACTTGCTTTACACGTGACGCTGTCATTTTATCTGGTACTTACTTAAAATTTTCACATTGTTTTATGTCTTAAAATTAGAAATTAAAGTTAATGACCTAAAACTGAAATAGTATATTGCAGTACAAGTGAAAAAATTTACAGTTTCACTTATGCGTGTGTTATGGATCAACATTGCTACGCCATCAAAATTTCCTCCTCCTGCTCCTTAAATTATTACATATATATATATATGTAAATATTAAAAGCACAAGGAAAAGACCGGAACACTGTAGATGCGTGATTAGATCCTATATTGAAGAGGAAGTAAATCTTGATTGCGTCGTAAGCTAATGTGTTGACTTCGTAAATAAAACTTGGCAGTAGAAGCGATTTTAATTCCATTTTTATTTCCAGTTGATATTTGTGGCCACAATCACTTGGCACTCTAGTCGTGCCTTTCCACAGAAGATTTACATTTTTGATATTGTTGGGATAGAAAGCAAGCCAGCGAAATCACATCTTAGCACAGTAGCGAGCAAAAGCTGAAGTGCTTAGTTATGCAAGATGGAGGCACGCGAAGAGAAAAGTTTTGGTTTACAAGGACAGTTTCAGTTCCCAATGATTACGCCATCAGAGCCGCGCCGATCACAGAGTGATCCAGAAATGACGCAATGCAAAGAAGTTATTACGATTTTAGAATAGAGAGGAAGAATTAATGTTTACAGTTTAATCTATAATTTTGATTCATATATTTTTATCTTACATATTCCCCCCTTCAAAAAGAAAAAGGCGTAGCGACAGAAAAGCCTTTTTAAAGATAGAGACTTAAAGCACTAGCAAATTAAAAAAATACATAAATAAATAATAAAATTTTGATCCTGTAAAGTATTATTTATAAATATCAATTTTTTAATAAATTGTTAATTTTTAGAGTCCTATTGAATTTTTCAACATTTCAGTCCAAAAGTCTTTTTGTTTGAGAGTTCACATAAGCATAATTCATCAGGGAAGGTTCTTGTTATTACAGAATATCACAAAACTTTTACATAATCATTTCTTATAATTAAATGTAATGCACATAAATATTTATGATACTTATTTCCATACTGATAAATTATAATTTAACATCATAAATAATAGGATTAAGATTTTCAGAATTTATGGTTTCACCGTTATCATCTTTGATTTACAATTCCTGATTTTACCAAACTGGAAGCCTCGCAATACTTCTAAACAAACATATCCATCAATAGGGCTGTCCTCTTGAGCTAACCAGTGTGTTCTATGCACTGGTGGCCCAGGGTGCCTAGACAGTTACTTGAAAAGGCCTCCGTTCCTTGCATTAAGGTAACTGGCCTTTGAGAACTGCACTAATACATTCCATAATATAAAAATATAATAATAATATAAAAAAATTACAAACACTCATAAAATGAGAGCCTCCAACATTATCTTGCATGAAGAGGGTAAAAGGAACAACTGTACAGAGGCAATTACAGGCCTCTGTTGAAGGAACCAGTACACCCTCAGCATACTATACTTAACACACAATAACCAATAAATTTTAACATGCATTTACCATAATTTCATATTACTTATCTGTACTAATTTCACTTATTTTTTACACCAACTTCATTTTTAGAATAATTATAAAATTCGTATTGAAAATTCTCAACAAAATTTCAAAAACATAAAAACTTATCTTAATATTCTTCCCTATGAATAATTTAAATAGCTTAAAATTAATTACTTAATTTGCTCACACATAATTATGAAAAATTAGAAAAATTAATGAACAAGAATTTCAGATTTTCTCAAAACAAATTGCAGAAATTTTAACCAATGTTGAAATGAAAACTATAGAATCCTCAGCACATTAAATAATTTAGTTCCTGAGCTAAATTCACACGAATGTAATACACTTTGAGCTGTTGAAAAAGCAGAAGTGCAAATAATTTTCTGTCGCACACACTTGCAAACACTAACTCAGATCGACCTTGAACCCGCTGTAATGCTGAATTCCTAAACGGTAATTCACTGATGATTTAAAGCACTATTTTTCTAAATATTGTACAGATCGGCGAAGCAAATTAAATATTCCTTTTCACTAGGCATTCGAACTTCTCAATTTATCGAGAGATTACTTTCAATCTGTAAACACTACGCGTGATTATTTTTTTGAAGCACTTGCAAAACACGACAGCAGAAGAATGATCTGTTATTTTTTAAACACTGAAAAAAATAAATTTGATGATTCACTTCTCTCACATTATCTTGAATTTATCACAAAACGATGATTTGAAGAGCTGAATTAAATTTTCCATTGAGGTTTCAGTCTGCAGGAAACTATCCTGCCGACTTAATTGTCATAATAAAAGCAAAGGAAATAACGGAGCAGTGTAGATGCGTGATTATCCTATATTGAAGAGGAAGTAATCTGATTGCGTCGTAAGCTAATGTGTTGACTTCGTAAATAAAACTTGGCAGTAGAAGCGATTTTAATTCCATTTTTATTTCCAGTTGATATTTGTGACCACAATCACTTGGCACTCTAGTCGTGCCTTTCCACAGAAGATTTACATTTTTGATATTGTTGGGATAGAAAGCAAGCCAGCGAAATCACATCTTAGCACAGTAGCGAGCAAAAGCTGAAGTGCTTAGTTATGCAAGATGGAGGCACGTGAAGAGAAAAGTTTTGGTTTACAAGGACAGTTTCAGTTCCCAATGATTACGCCATCAGAGCCGCGCCGATCACAGAGTGATCCAGAAATGACGCAATGCAAAGAAGTTATTACGATTTTAGAATAGAGAGGAAGAATTAATGTTTATAGTTTAATCTATAATTTTGATTCATATATTTTTATCTTACATATATATATATATATATATATGCGGTTTAAGTGTATGTTTGTTGCCGATAGTTTATTGGTTGCTTGCTCAACTGTACTAGCCAATGGGGTGAAGTTGCCACGGCACAGGGTTACGCTTTTTTTTACCTGAGACTGGATTTGGACACGGTCAACCTTATGTTGCCTATTCAAGAGTTCGTGAAAGAACGGACGTAAAATTAAAAATAAGGGACGGTCCTCTGCAAGGCGAGCTTAAAAATGATGGAAAGATCTACACAAGAAATGTGCACAAAGAGATCTTTGACATGTGAATTAACATTTTATTATTTAAATCACCTTTATTTATTGATTTAGCGGTGACTCTTAAGAAATGTACCGCCAGTTGTTTCCTTCATTGCACTTTACTTTAAGCATTTAAGCAAGTAGAAGGGGAAAACCTGGTGGGGCAGTAAGCAAAGGGGCGTCCTCGCCGCCTGCGCTGGGTAATTCAGTTTGAATTACCAGACACCATTGCACAAATCATTTTAATTACAGTTTATAATATCTAGATCAGCAGTCATTTCGTATGACCGGCGGGCTTTCTAGTAATAATATAATATAGTAAAGTATATCTATAGCATATGTAAGGTGCGTATGTAAAGCATACGTATACTAAAGTACAATATGACAATTTATTCTTCCATTTTACTATTTTGTAGCAGTCCATAACTTATGCCGTACTTGTGAGAATTAGCACCGCAGTAAAACTTCTCTTCTTCATTTTGACATTTTTCTCTACTCACATTACGCTATATATCTAGCCTTAGTATAAATGGTATGAAGTTTTTCATTTTGTGACTTTGATATATGATTATTGTATATTCTTCATCAATATATATTCAATATTTGAAACCCCTCTCTGCACTGAGTCATTTATATTAAATTCTCTATATTGCGAATTTCTTTTTTTTTTCTTAAATTCAGAGTATGCTTTTTGTTTGTTTCCCTTTCTTTCTATCCCGTCATATATCAGTTAAGTATTATATGATATTAAAATATACAGGTCCAAAATATTTGTAAAAATGGAGGATTATATTATTTGTGCAATTTATTATAATTTCCTCAAAAGCTTGGTTTGGTAAAAACTGTGGCCAAATGTCATGAAGCAATGTTCCGAGCAAGTAGGCGAAAGTGTTGATGATCCAATAACCAACCATTCTAAATTACTGAAATATTAAAGATTTTTTTTTTCAATCAATACATTAGTTTTGCCTTTTGGCATGAGGCTTGTGAAGCGAATATGTTTTGGAAACTCGTCGAAAAATTTTAAAAGGAATAATCATATTAGATGAAGCTAGTGTTATTATTTTAGTTTTATTTACTTAGTTATTTTCAATAAAAGCAGAATCTGTGAAATTGATATTCTGACTTTATTTGGAAAGATTTCATTGACTGGACGCCGCTCGAGTTGGTCTCCATCTGGAGTGTGTTAGCCATATTCGATTTAGAATTCATATCGTCGGAAACTACTAGGGCCATATGTGTTCTTTGGGACTGATAGCGTATAGCTTGACAAAACTGGTTATCCATAAAGAGCATCCCATGATTTATAGGAAATTCCCACGCGCTATTCCTTGAGCAATCAGGTAAAATCAGCCAACACTGTAACAGCCCATCATAAATATTGTCACACTGCAGCTGCTCAGCTTAGTGTGTGTGCTTAGGAGGACACATGATCGAAACATGTGAGGAACTGGTAAATAAATAAACAAAGTGGGAATGTACAAAACATTAGTATTATGATAGTGACATTTTATACAAGAGACCGAAGATATAGGAATAAAAAACGCAAATAGAAATCTACAAATGTATTTATTCTTAAGGCTAATTATTCAATGATAGTTTTTATTGTTCCCTTTTAGTAATACCTATAATTGTTTCTATAATTTTCAATATTTATTGTTATTCAATTAAACAGTACTGTTATAAACTGATAATTAATGTTTCATATGTATGGCATACAGATTTTTATAAAACTAAAAACGATAGATTGTCTCATTTTTGCTTTTTATTAGGTGGTCTTCAGAGAAAATTTTCAAGTGGTGTAAATCAAAGAAGTGGCGTACTTCAACATTTCTGCATGAAAACTCAAACTCTATCATCCTCAGCTGGATCACCACGAGAATGGCCACCAGGAGAGTATTGTATCTACCAGTATGGTATTCGATGTCCACTAGGTTTCGAAAGCGGTTATATCACATTGCGAGATACCTTGGAAATGTTATCGGATAGCCGAGTTTCTGGCAGCTATCCTCGTGGTAGCTATACACAGCAAACCACTAGAATCTATTTCTGCTGCAGAAATGATGGAAGCGCGGAAAATCTTATCAAACTCCCTACAAGCGCTCCTTTCTACTTGTTTAGGTATGGAAAATCGTGCCAAAAAGTGGAAGGAATGTCAGAAATGGAGCAGTATTTTCATTTTAACGAAGATATTGCTCCATGGGCATCCTACCCTTGGGAACAGGAGGAGAAGATTGATGGCGTACCAAAATACATGGAACCTCACCCAAAGGTGGATAAAAGCGGATTTGAGAAGGGGATTGCTCTTTTTTATTGTTATTATGATATCAGTGAGTATACTTGATATTTTCATGTACTCTTTAAGTCTTCTCTGAAAGCACTTTTAATTATTTCTGAAAATGCTTTACATTTGGCAGTATGAAACGCGTACCAGGTCAAGAGGCCAACAAGAACAGACAGAGAACTAATACTGCAGTTCCACAGAAACTCATAATCTTTACAAAATGTAATAATTTAACGAGTAAGGAAGCTTATTGTTAATTTAATTTAACAGTATTCGTAATGATCCATCAAAATGCTACGAAAATATTTCATATTAGATATTTAAACATCTTTTCCTAGTGTAGAACAATTCATCTCAGAGATCTTACCAGGTACATTCTATGACCTCTTTCATCTAACTGAATTAATTATGTTTTTCATTTTGTCTTTGAGAAATTAATGCGTAGCATTAAAAGAATTCTACACTATAATTTGTTTAATGTGCATTTTTTGTATGTAATACATATAAACGTTTAAAATACTTAATGCAAATATTTTCTGAAAATTTACTACAGAGATATTCATAAATCTATCTAAAGATTTGGCTCCGTTTTCTTATATTCCCTTCAGCATGTAGTAGAGTGTGTAGCTTGTCATAAAATCTTTGCATTGATAATCAATTTTCGTTATATTCTTACTCCAATCTTAATTGCCTTGGAATCATAGAGTCCTGAAATGACGTTGTGCAAAAATAAACAATTTGGTTCTGCATATTCATGAAAAAAAAGCTTTCCTACCCGATTAATGGCCATATTGCTTAACTCTTAAGCAATGTCAAGAGTGCTCACGTGATGCTGACATTACGTTGCCAAAGAAAAAAGTAAAGGTCATAAATTTTAAGACTTCTGTAAAGCAGTATGAAATGCTTCCTGATAATTTTTTTATTTATTTATTTATAAGCATGTAATATGTTTATTTCTTTAAGCTAAGCCTGTTTTATTTTAGAAATTGATAGAAATTTATGTTCTTTATGCAAGATATGTGAAGATCGTTTCAAATCAAGAAAGGTTAAGATTAAGAATCAAATGATGTTAAAAATGATTTTAAAACATTATTTGCAATCAGAATCACTTTGCTATTATTATTCAGAATTTATTGCTTTTATTTCTGCTCCAGTAATTAAATATTGTGTGTCTATATAGTATAACTTTTTTAATGAACTTTAAATATTTTTAGCTCAGAGTTTACGGGGTTTTCGCGTAACTGTGGACGAATCAGGACTTGTAAATACCTATGCACGTTATTACGACGACTTGTCTTATGGAATTCCTCATACAGAAGTGGGTGGATTTTTGAATGCATACATGTGTTCGATATATCCTGTAATGAATCCAGAATTCTCCGTTCTAAAAGTGAATTGTTCGCAACCAATACATGGGCAATACGTCACAATACAGATGTTCAACAGATTCGATAGTCTTCAGTTCTGCGAAATGAAAGTTTTCGGAACAGGTACAAAATTTTCTTTAACAAATATTTTCCTTAATGCTCTGTACTTCATTTTTATGAGCGTATAGTATTAAGGAATTATACTACAAAACTAGAAGCGTTTAAATAAATTGTGCTGCATTTAAAAATGTTTCTTTTTCCTCCTTGCATTTTTTGTGTGAGTGTGTGTGTAGTGTGTTTCAGTACATTTCCCTCTGCCAAATCCAAATTAAACATTTATTTTTTATTATTAACAACTAAATCTAAGAAAACTAGGAATTAAACTCACTTGTGCATGAAAATTTCTCTTAGCATTCATATATTTGTCTCACCAAGCACATTAGTTAGACATAAAAGCATTTTTACTCGAGCAATTTTTACTGACTGGGGTAAATCTTGCTGAATTATTTTATTCACATTCGTTAAAAAGTAATTCAGTTATACTGCAACATTCAGACTAGCCCATAGATTCTACAGGCGGTTTTCTTAGAGAGTATTTTAAAATAATGTTCGAATATTTCGATAATTCTCTTTCTAGCTACAGGAATAGAAATGAAGTAATTCACATTATAAGTTACTACTTTAATCATTTTTATTGATTCGATGAAATATCTCTACTTTTCCTTATTATATGACAACATATATTCACACATCTATCCTTGATAAAGAATTGATTATTATTGTTTAGATTATTTATATTATTTAGTTCGCTCATTATTATAGTTTTTTTAACCATTATATAAATATTGCATTTTATAGAGTATTTTCTCATCAGTTATAATAATAGACTTGTAACAGGCTTTTAATAAAATTTCTATTTAAGAATTGACATTTTTTGCCCCAAAATATCATTTCTCCTAAAATGGCTGCTTATTTATCTAAAATAGTGGATGCTACAGTATTTCATACCATGTTTGAGAGAATATACTGTAGAGATATTAGGTATTTTTTTGGAAGCAGTAAGATGAAAAATTAGCAACGCCTTTGCAGGCAATGAAACCGCGGACCTCTGGAATACGCGCCCACCGTGCAGACCACCACACTATGAAGGCATGCCAAAGAAGCGGGAGAAATACCTTATAATACAAAGTCTAAATGTTAGGAAATTACCATTAGTTTTGCACATACAGTTCTGCTGCACAACAAAGGGATGTGTAAACCCCTTTTTAATTTTTAAAGGAAATAAGTTTAAGGAGAATTAAACTTTATTTTAAAGTTTATGACTTTTTTTATTATTTTTAAAGGAAAATGTTTAAGGAGTCAATACCTCTGCTATGCCGAAATTCTTATCCCATAATGTTAAATTAATTTAAAAATGTGTTTAAAAATAATTTTTCCAAATTACTGTTAAAGTAAGCTTCTTACAGATTTATAAATTGATATTTATAATGCACTGTATATTCTTTCTTATCTGCTCTTTCTCTAGCTTGCCTTTCAAATAACCGGCCATATTTTCAGTAAGATACTTTTCTTGAGAATCAAATTTTTGCTATCACTTTTAATAAAGTGCACATAATACGTACGCACTATAGTCAGAGATAGTATGTATTTTCGTGCATAAAGTAAAGAGTTCTACTTATCATAATTTTAATAGCTATCGAGTTGCATCTATGTATGTCAGAATCTCTTATGTCTTATGTCGGAATCTCTTACTCTACAAAAGTACTTCGTTATATCTTGATTGTTCTTTTAATTATGTTAATGTTGCGTTAATTATGCTAAAATGTTGAGTAAGCGAAAAAGAAACATGTTTACTACTGAAATGGAGAAATATACAACGGATGCTAAAATAATTTATTTTTTCTTTTATTAATAAAATTCATTATATTATATTAATTTTAAATTTTATATTACCTTTTTTTCGAAAAAATAGTATAATTATACTTTACAAAATAAATTTAAAATATTTAAAAAAATAGATTTTAACTTAATAAATATTTATGGAATATTTGCGTACGAAACCATAATACAAGCCCTTTAAATGTTTTTAAAAGCCTTCAAAGGCCACTTTCTCTTTACATTTTTGAATTAATACCTCATTTATTTATTCAGAATTAACGATTGGTTCTGCAGAAATTATCCAGCATTAAATTCGTTAATCGATAGTTTACTTTATTAATATCAAGAAAATATATTCGAATGATAAGGACATGTTCTATCCATATTACCCACATCGGTTTTGGCTTAATTTTCTATTTAATCATTTTGTTATTGTGAGGTATAATCATTATAGAACTGGTAAAACATTTAATATTATTATAACAAATACGTTGAAAAAGGTAAAAATTCTGTCAAAAATTTAATTTTGAGTTTTAAGTTGAAGATCAAGGATTTTTCGGATCGCATATTCATGATGCTCTAACCTCTCCGTACTTGAATCATTATCGAGAATTTTAAATTTAACTTCTGATGTTCATCCATTACATCTTGTTTAAACCGAAAGAAAATCCGGTAGCAACTATTTTTACTTCCTTGTACGAAGTAAAAAGGAAGTATTGTAATCGCGAAATGTTTCAGGCAGCCTATTTCAACGAAAATATCCGTTTTGACCGCTATCGAATGCAATTTAACGATGTTTGCGTGATACATGTACGTAAGGAAAGAATAAAAGACACTTTTCCTCCAAAAAAATTATAAAACTGCTTTAAAATGAGTTCTGAAGAGAATTTTTCGTGGCGTCTGTACGAACGTATGTACGTACGTATCTCGCATAACTCAAAAACGAGTAGCCTCAGAACGTTATACATATCCACTCTGTTACCCGGCTCAGTGATCTCAGTTTCTTTACTCTTATATGTTTGTAAATTGTACATTTTTTGCTTTAAAACTGATTGAATTATGTTGTTCTTATCTTCCGGTTAAGGTTTTTATGCCTTTAGTGAATCTGTTTGCAATATTTTTAGATTTATCAACAATTTTAAAGTTGTTTAAGTGCCGCTAAGCCTAATAATTTTTTTTGATGGAGGCCATTGCTTGTTTACATTTGAAAGAGCAGGATAGTGAATTTGTTGCCACTCTAGATAACTTAGCTTCGCAATAACAAAAATAACGCCTTCATTTATTATTGCGAATTAAATCATGCTTAATCCTTTCTGGAATTGTTTGGAGGAAATAAATGTTTAAGATTTACTTTGTAATTTTTTTAATACAGATATTTTAAGATTTATGTATTTTCGCCTTGTCGCGAAGTGAGAACTGAATGAATTGAATGAGAAATACGCAATCGTCTGCGAAAAACTGTTTCTTTTTTTGTTTTGTTTGCTTAATTTCTTTTATACATCGTTCTAGCTTTATTACAGTATTTGAATAGAATCTGTGGCAACGATTAGATAATTCTTTAAATGATATCAATTTTGTGCATTCTGTGTGTTATAAGTTAATCTTATAACACAAAATTATAAGCTAATTTTGTGTTATAAGATGAACGAAATATAATACTGTTAAGTGAACCTAGCGCCAGAATGTCGCTATAAACAAATAGAGTGAATTTTAAAGAATGCATTTATTCTATTGCCGTTTACGCGCTATCGGCGAAGTAGATTTAATTCAATCCAATAAGTTTAAATGAAATGCAAGAAAAAAAGCGTACAATTTAATATTCCGTACAAGAAAGTCATGTGGTGTACACATCAGATTTTTAATATTATGAAATGATGCAATCCATAATTTTATGTAGCAAATTTTGGAGTAGGCAGAATCTGTAATAGACATCTGCAATTATTTTATTGAAGTTCATGAACTATAATGTGCACCAATTAATTAGGCATTTATTTAAACTACTGAATTTATACTTTTGAATTAAGGCAAAGAAATTATAAAAAATTAAATAGTTTGGTTACATGGCAAAAGAAAATAATAAAGTTAAAGACAATAACGATTAAGTCGAGGTAATAACGGATGTAAATATTTGCATAAAAATATTCAGTCTTTATAAAGTTTACATGTGGATGCCGCAGCTAAGCATGACTATTTGCTGTTTTTCAAAATACTTATTGGATTATGTTATATAATGCAAACCGTTTTCTGCTTGATTCAAAAAATATTTTTTTAATTTTTAAGTAATGCTTTTATATCTCAGAGTCGTGCGGCCAGCCTCTTGGAATGGCATCTGAAGAAATATTTGACATCCAAATCAGCGCGTCTTCTAGCGATGACTGGGATCATTATTATTACACTAATGGCAGATTAAATGCTGACCATGGATGGTGCGCAGCGTCCAATGATTCTTTAAAACAATTTACGGTAAGAAATAGTTATAGCTTTCGAATATACTGCTTTTAAAATGATAGAAGGGTATTGTAGATAAACAACAAGTCCAATTTAGGAAAAAGTGCAAAAGAGCTTTTTTTCCTGTAACAGAAACACTACATGTAAATTAAATTAAAATTGAAAATGATATTTAATGTTGCAAAAGCTTAGTTTGCATTTTTATAGTAGTTATAATCTTTTAACAAAGGGCATGTGAAATCATTTAACTTTTTTATTTTCGAATTCGAAAAATATTTTTAAACATTTTTATTAGTAAAGAATAATGCCAGCAAGAAAAAAACATGTAATTCGTTAATATGCGAAACTTATGCTTATCTGTGTTTTTCTAAATACGCCATTTATCTTCATACATTTTTCAAGGATATCCTTTTCCAAAATATAGGCATCTCTATATAAAGTTTTTAAATATCCTGCCACTTAATTTTTTTCTCAATATTTTTCTCAGTTTTGGGGCTTTTTAAATACAGAATAAAACTGTCTATCTAAATTTAAGAATATTTCGGATATTCTGCATGACCCCTTTTCTCACAATGATGAATTTTTATTTTTTAGAAAATATAAAATTAATTTCATTTAAACCATTTTCTATTGTAATAACGTCTCAATAATGAATTTTTAGGTAGACCTACAAAATATGACTGTGGTGACTGGTATTGTACTCCAAGGTGTGAATGGGGCTCCAAAACGAATTGCTGTGAAATCGTTTTACCTTTTTTTTAGTAATGATTCAATCAGTTGGAAATGGGAAGAAGAACCTGTTGGTCAGCAAAAAGTAAGAGACTCAAAAAAATGGCTATTTATATTATTACATTTAGAGTCATATTATAGTACATGCGTATATGTATGAATAAGTAAAGTAAAAACAGTTCACAATATAATCCAATTTCCAGCTGTACGCTGATAGCAGCATCCAAGTGATGACAATAATACAAAATAAAATAAAATGAAAAATGGGTTTAAATTTCACCCCATGGCCAAATTCCACAAACAAACCACATACAAATACTAAAAAACAGGCACACAATGGCAAACTTCAAGAAATGGGTGGGGGGGGGAGGGGCAAAACATGCCAATATGAAAAACGAAAAACGATATTTAAATCTTTTTCTGCATCTTCATCAGAGGGCTGGTGCAACGAAAAAGGTAAATAAATAAAATTTTATGTTATTTATTTATTTAGCTTTTCGTTGCACTATGTTATTTATTTATTTACTTTTTCTTTAGTTTGTGTCTTTGTCAGCTCAGAAACAGGTCGCATGGTAACCTGTTTCTAAGCTGACAAAGACACAAACTAAAGATTAGAATTTTAAAATAACCTCAGAAAAACAATGACCTAAGAAAAATAATCAAAGTAAACTGTGTTCTTTATCAGTCCAACCCCTAACATATATACATCTGTTAACTACTCTAGTTTTTGAAAGAGACATTTGACTTCTATGTTCAGAGTATTATGATCGGAATTTCTTTGTCAGAAAAACAAATGTCTGTAAATTCATGATCATAGTCATACATGTAAAATGTGCATAATTTCATTTATTTTTAAAAAAATTTCTCGGTAAATTTCTCCCTAAAGAATGTTTTCGTATTTACATATACATATTCAATTTCTGTGTTAAAATAACGTATCAACTTCTGCGATTACAGTTACGTTCAAATATTGTGAAACAATACATGCTAAAAAAGCATCGTTCCTAGTATGCATATGTGTTTTGATCTAAGAATTATGCCACTATTTATGATTATTTTTTTTTAATTATAGGTGTATGTATGCGATCAATGCGAATCGACAGATGTTTACACGAATGACCTAGAGATGAGGTTTAATCTTTTAAAAGGTATACCAGCTAGAATAGTGCAAATTAAAATTTTGGAATATTATGAACAGCCATGTTTGCGTTTAGAAATTCTAGGATGCAGAGAAAAAGGTAATACCAATGTATTATATTCCAAATATTAAATATCTGATACAATATTTCATTGAGGATTAATCATGCCTGAATTTGTTAACCTTTTATTAATACACGCATTTTTTTAATGTGAGAATTTTGCTATCGTTTGTGATTCAACTTAAAAGTAATTTGAATGCATTTGATATACTCTAAGTTACATAATAGTTTTAAGAAAAATGGCTTCTGATGATAGTTAACTATAAACAAGCTGGAATCAAAAAATAACAAAAAGCTTCTAAATTGAATTTTATTGCAATTAATATAATATGTACTTAAATATAGCTATTTTGTTTAAAATAGTTATATTTAAACCATTTACGAATGTCTAAAATAGTTATATTTAAACAATGAGAAACTAAAATATTGTGCCATTGAGTGACAAAAGTTATGCGTAACTATATTAAATTAATCCTTAATTTTTAATCTAAAAATCTAAAACTACTGAAAATTGGTATAAATTATGTAATGCTGGATGCGAAATAACAGCCAGTACTAAATCAATATAAAATAAAGTAAAAAACGAATTAAGAGCTCTCTTTTAAGCTCTCATTTTTAAAGATTACTACTTCATACGTTTTGTAGTAAACTCTATTATCTCTGTTTTACTGAAATTTGTTCATCAAAAATTTATAATTTCATTTAGAAGCTAGGCATAAAATTCCATGAAGAAAAGATACTGTGATTTAATTTTGCTCACCATTTATATCATAAAATACCAACGTCTGGTGTGATTTCCAACATCAGCTTCAGAATGTTTTCTCTGTAATGGGAACCATTCACAGCAAAGTGAGGTAAAAATGATGCTTGTATTATATTTGAAATGGAGCTTCACAAATCACACAGATTGCTTTCTTACAGCTACACGATTCATACACTCACGCATATGACGTGTATACATGCAATTTTCTAACAGTCGTAAATAATCTGGGACAACTTGTTCGCAGAATCGAAATCAGCTTATGATCATTTACATGACTTTTAAATAATGTCTATTCTCGCTCTGATGGTTGCTTTCAGCGATGCTGGTATATTTTGAGTTTTTTCAGTGTTCCTTCTAAAAAAATTATATAAGAAGATTTTCACCTTTACTACAACATCTAAAGAAAAATGTGCATCTAATGTGCAATTCACAACCGCTATATATGGACGGTTTCCGGTTAATGCAAATTCTGAAGTAACTACATGAGATGTATAAAAAGCAAAATTAGTATATGCAAAGCATGGATGGCAATGCAAGGGGAAGTAGTTTTGTAAGATATTGAATATGTTTGTAAACCTAACGTAGGCGAAATAGAAATTGAATGCACAAAAACAAGATGCTTCAATGCCAATAATTTTTAACAATGAGAAACTAATTTTGTTTAAGCTACTTATTTCTTAACACAACCCTCTATCTGTCCATATACAACTATCACAAATTACACCGATGTTGTAATCCATATACCATCGTGAATGGAACTTTCAAATATAGTTACAAGTACTTCCTCAATTGTAGCCCTTGCACATAGATTTGAGTAACTCGGTGAATGAATGTAAAGTGAAGACTGCTGCATATGCTTTGATGCCAGGTAGAAAAAGGCTTTATTACAAAATCTCTCAAACTTTAAAGTGAAAATTTGGCTTAGGTTCGAAACATAATGGCTTTTGAACAACAGCAGTCATGCCCTTTGAAGATGCTTTTATTTTTCCCTACAGCCATGCAGAAAATGCTTACGACGATTTTATAGAAGTGTAACCAATCCCTTAACATAAACTGTTGGACTAACTGTGACAACAAGGCTGCCCTCTGGTGAGTAGCCAGAGAAGTACTTCAGTGAAAGCCAAGCGTCACACTTGATAGGTTGTGTCACTCTTGCTCTGTAATATTCTTAAAGTTAAATATAATGTCCGTGTGTAACTTAAACCTGTTAATAAATGCTTGTTACACTATACAAGACTCTTCTATGACCCTATCTAAAACGACCCCCACACAGAAGCACTTTTGCAGTTCTACCAAGACATTGATGTACTAAATCTGTATCGAGGAACTGGAAAAGTCTAACAAAATGTCAGAATATATATGTATCATTAGCGCATCTTTCCTCAACAAGTCGTCTATGAAAACAGCTTAATAATAGACAAACGTGGAAGAAAAATAAATTAAAATTCGTTTGAAAGAATTCGTTGGTATTTTGTCAGCCAGCTGCTGGATATGAAAATGTTCACGTGAAAATGTAAGCATGTAATAGGAAGAATTTAAAGGAATCAATATTGAAACGAAGAGAATCACAAATTTAACAAACATATGGAAGGATCTCATTTAAAAATCAGGTAGTCCATTAAAACACTCAGAGAAATTTAAAAACACGACGGCTACCAAATCGATTTCGCAGATTTGAATTTTCCAGGGAAAATACAGAATAAAGAAAGGGCATTTCTGTGGAGAAAATCGAGACTCTCTTAACATGCTCAGAGGCAACAAATAATATAAAAAAGTGAGTAGAAATTGCATTACTTATCTCAAAACTGTGGTACAACTAAGAACGCACAATTTAAAAGTGAAGATTATAATCGACGTTTTGGGCTTTAAACATAAGAGACTTACTGCCTCACGATTTCAAATATATATATAAGTAACAAAACAAAAATTTAAAAAATAAAAATTGTTTTATAGACGTAGAGGAAAATCTATTGGTGATTTTTAAACAAACCAGCAATTTCAACCACAATTTTGACAGTTCGAAACCTGGATATAGGGAAAAGAGAAATTTTAAATGCTTTCATGCTAAATTTAAGGTGTAGTTAATATAATAGATATATATATATATATATTTATATCTATTATATTAAATATATGTATCCATATATATATATTTATATATATATACATATATATATAGAGAGAGAGAGAGATTGTTGTCAAAAGCTATCCATTTACACATATCAATAGCCTAGAATTTTGCTAAAGTAAATTAATAATTAATCATTTTTCCAACTTTACAGTAAGGTAATCAAAGAATTTTTTTGTTCCATTATGTCCCACAAAATTCAAAATTAAAGAAGCTAGGGTTACGGCCCCATTAATGAGTATTTCTTCATGAGAAAATATCCCTGATTTCGATTTATGCGAAAATGTTGTGTATAATTACATCAAAATGCTGGTACTCGCTAAACGGCATGGAACACTATCTTAGAGTGCTGACGTTTAGAAGTAAAAAACATCAGTAGTAAAGATTTACTACATTTCAAATTAATGAATTGGTATTAGCATGAGTAATAGTTTTCCGTATTAAAACGTAAATTTATGTTTTACGTTTTTCGGAACAGGAAAAATGAACGGCCCCTCCCCAAGGAATTGAACTACATCTTTTCCAGTTATTCACTAAAGGTGTAAACTTGCCTCACCCAAAGAGCGCGTAAAAATGGAATGTGATTATTCCTTGCAATGTTAAATGAAACCCGTTATTTACGAAACATGGGTAATTTACCACTTTTATCATTTAAAACCAGCAAGCTCTTCAAAACTCTGTCCTCAGAATCTCGAGCTAATAAGGACCGAATTTTTTCCCATTGTTCAGAAGTCTGGTATCACAGATATCAAGTTTTCGTCCATTTGCAGTCCATTTCTTTAGGGTTTTTCTCCTTCAGGAACTTCAAAAAACTACTTTTGTGATATAAGAATGCCGTGAAATTGTTTACAATTGATTAGTCAACGGACAGCGAACTCCATAAGCTGCTTCCAAAGGTGTCCCTTGTTCTTGTTTCTTTCCACGTATTTAGATCACACAAGCGTTTTAAACATGCTTTCAAAATGTCTGTTACATTTTCTTGATAGTACATACATGAATTTCAATTGATGTATTAAAAATCCTTACTATTTCTAACAAGAAAACATCGAAAAGTATCTAATTTACATTTAACACTAAAATTATAACATGTTTTTGCATTATGTTTTTATTTATTTGGATTCTAGTAATTTTAATTCAATAAAAGGAAAGTATTTTTTTATATATAGAAGATATTCTTAACCCATTTCTCAAAATCTTTCTTCATAACCATTGACAGAAGGAAAGTGAACAGAAATTTGGAGTTTTTCCCTATAAAATAAAATATTAATTAGTTTATTTTAGAATTTCTCCTATCCGCTACGAAAACATTCTATTCTGCAAAAATAGTTCTCAAATTACTGCATCACGTTGATACTAAAAACTAATAATTACTGAGCCAGTCATACCTTAAAACGATCCATACTTGCATAACGTCCAAACGCGCATAACAGCAATAAACGCTCCTTTTTACTTCCTTGTACGAAGTAAAAAGGAATCGCAAAAAGTTTCAGGCAGCATATTTCAACGAAAATATCGATTTTGACCGCTATCGAATGAAATTTAACGATGTTTTTGCGTCATATCTGTACGTAAGGACAGAATAAAAGACACCTTTCCTTCAAAAAAAAATTATAAAACTGTTTAAAATTAATTCTGAAGAGAATTTTTCGTGGCGTCTGTACGAACGTATGTACGTACGTGCGTACGTACGTATCTCGCATAACTCAAAAACGAGTAGCCTCAGAACGTTGAAGTTTTGTATATAGGACTGCTGTAACATGTTAGATGTGCACCTCGTATTTTGGTTGCAATCGGCCGCACCAATCGTGTATAAATATATTTATATATATATCCACTCTATTACCCGGCTCAGTGATCTCAGTTTCTTTACTCTTATATGTTTGTAAATTGTACATTTTTTTCTTTAAAAATGATTGAATTATATTGTTTTTATCGTCCGGTTAATGATTTTATGCCTTTAGTAAATCTGTGTGCAATATTTTTAGAATTATCAGCAATTTTAAAGTTGTTTATTTGCCGCTAAGCCTGTTTTAATGGCGGCCATTGATGTTTACATATGAAACAGGAGATTAGTGGATTTGTTGCCAATCTAGAGAAACTTAGCTTCGCAACAACAAAGATAACGCATTAATTTATTATTGCCAATTAAATCATGCCTAATTCTTTCTGGAATTTTTTCGAGGAAATAAGCGTTTGAGATTTACTTCGTAATTTTTAATATATAGATATTTTGAGTTTTTATGTATTTTTGCCTTCTTGCGAAGTAAGAACTGAATTAATTAAATGAGAAATACTCAATCGTCTGTGAAAAATGTTTCTTTTTTGTTTTTTTGCTTAATTTCTTTTATACATATTCTAACTTATTATAGTATTTGAATAGAACATGTGGCAACGATTAGATAATTCTTTAAATGATATACATTTTGTGCATTCTGAGTTATAATATGAACGAAATATAATACTGTTAAGTAAACCTAGCGCCAGAGTGTCGCTATGGTAAACAAAGTGAATTTTAAAGAATGCATCTATTCTATTGTGGTTTATGCGCTGTCGGCGAAGTAGTTTTAATTGAATCTAATAAGTTTAAATAAAATGCAAGAAAAAATGCGTATAATTTAATATTCCGTACAAAGAAGTCATGTGGTGTACACATCAGATTTTTTTTTCATTTCTGAAAAGCAAGACTATGCTGCTTACAAATTTTAGTTAATACATTTTGCCTTATTTTTAAATATTCCTTTTGCTGCATTTTATTTTCTTCAAGCATTCTCATGCAAAGTACTTTCCCAAAAATTTTTGAGTTATTTTTTCTTTACTTCTGCTTCTGAATCTGCTTTGATTTCAGAATCGTACTTTAACAAACAGTGCCTCAGATACTAGCAGAATTTTAAATGTTCCTACGCTTTTAAGTCTTTAGTGTTTCGTTTTTATTATACAGGGTAATGTTTTTCTTTTTATAGATTTTTCAAAGATAGACATTTAACTTAGACTTCACTGCATTTTTCTTGAATTTATATGTATGAATGCTTTTAGACAATTTATATATTATGTTAAGAATATCGAATTTAGTGAAATCATAATCAGGCCCAGCACCAGCATTTTTTGGCATGCAAGATGACTATTAGTTTTAGTGCCCCACATAAGTTAAATATATTTATGATTCAAAACTAAATGTATTTTTATTAACTAGTCGCTTGAGAGAAAACATTAATTGGCGCTTTCCGAAAATCAGCTCACTAGGTAGCTGCTTATGTCGCCTGTACTTAAGAATTGCCTCTCATTGTGTTGATACTATGTGTAACTCAAATCACTTCTTTGCTATTTAATATCTCATTAATATGCTAAAACTGTAGTACAGTTTGTATTTATGAGAAGTGTTATATTATTCCAAGTTTATAGGTATTGTTTGTCTTAAGTACTGTTTAAAACTTTCTTGAAAATTATCCTAAATAACCATCATAAAACCTGATTCTGGCATGCACTGTAATGATTTGTCATGTTAATTCCGATATCCAACAGCATCTGAAATACGGGAAAGGTCAACAATATTTCTGGCTAAATCGAACCAACGACTTCATAGCCATCTGATGAATGTTTTACGGGTTAATCTACTTTCGTTTTTAACTGATGTCATATTCCTTACAACTTCTATTATTATAAAAAAACATTAAACCGATTCCAAGTTAGACACAAAAAACTGACTTTTCTTAATTTACCTACAGTTCAGTGTGGAACTACCATGAGCACTCCTGAAGGGACTGTAGCATCACCGAATTATCCATATTATTATGGCCAAGATAAGTCCTGCTGGTGGTCCATTGAACCAGAACCAGGGAAGCATATCGAGTTAAATTTCATTTCCTATGATTTGGCAGAAAAAGAAGACATTTTAGAATCTAGCAAGTGCCGTGATGAACTAACTGTGTACTCTGGGTATGGGAACAGCTCAATTATAAAGTCTCCTGATGGTAATCTATTCCCTAAAAGGATCATTTCGAATGGAAAAATGAAGATTCACCTCCAGAGCTGTTTCAGATACTCTCGAAGTAGATACAGAGGATTCTTTGCTCATTATAAATCAGTAGGTAAGTGTTTCAAACTATGTAATAATTAAATATAAAACAAACGAATCTTATTACATCTAATTTCTGAGCATTACTGGTGTGAATTTAATTTTACCCAGCTTTCCGTTTATACTTATGTTGCTTAAAAATTCTTATTTGTTGATTCTCTGACTAATAGCGGAGAATATATTTCTTATTTCCCTCATTTTGGTCTTTTTTTCATACTTTAAACTTATACTAGTGTTAAAATAAAGAGCGAAATATATTTAGGACTATAACAGAGGTTTCAGTGACCCGATGTTTCTTTCAAGAATGAACAGTAGCATGGACCGTTACTGTAAAATTTATTCCTCAACTCATATAAGCATGTTTTTTAAGCATTGTATAATGTTTGTGTATAGCAAATGTATCACATTTATACATAATGCAACATTATGAAGAGAGGCTCAAAAAAATTTTAGTAAGTGGTATTTTTTAAATCTTAAATTTTTCCTAAATTTATGTAAATGAAACAGTCAGGACCTAACGAAATAGTATAGAGGAAAACAATTATTATAAAATTGCTGTTTTAGAGGTTACGTTTTCTAGTGATTTTCTAATTAGGTAAATTAAGAGTATTAATGCTGGATAACTTCATAATTCCTAATGATAAATAAGGGCTAACAATCAAATGTAATTTAAAAAGTAATATGAGAGTAGTTTGCAGAAAGTGAATTTTAAACATTTCTCGCTTCTCTTCTCGGTCTAATAAGTTTAAAATTTTATCACTGAACTATAGAAGTTAGCACGAATAAATACAAGGAACTTTTTCATGGTGACAACCTTCTGCAATGATTATCTTTCAGAATGACTACTCTTTCTGACAGCATAGTTAAATATAGTTATTGAAAATCATTTAAAGCTGAGGTGGCTAACTTTTTTATACATATGATCGGCTTTTTCTGTTAAAAATGTATCACGATCTACCTACTAAAATCTAGACATTTAACTCATACAAATCCATATCTCATGCACTAATAAGTGATACTGATGGTTTGGTATTAAACCAAGCTCTATTTTGTTAATAATATTTATTAATTGAAAATTATCCTCATAAAAATACAGATTAAATTTTATTTCCTTACTTTTGTCATTAATTTGAGCTTTGCGTCTGCCCGTCTCATCGAAACGTTAACAATTTTTTGTATACCCAGACAACAGTAATGGTAATAATCTTCAGCATGTAATCAGTAAATAAGTAACTATATTTATTTTTTTGATGTTTAAATATGAAACAATTTAAGAGCAGGATCTACTTATTTAGAGCATAGGTAAGTAGATCCAAAACAATAATAGATATATTCTCGATATTTCGGTGATATCTTATACATTTAAATGAAACTTCAATTGGAAGAGATGCCTTCTGAATGATGCCTCTTCCTGTATGGAATTCACAATTTTTGAACTCTGCGTCAATTTGTGTATTTAATCTTTTGCTTATACTGTTATTGATTAACACTTGTTGATGAACTATGCAACAGCAGCTCAAAACCTTTGGAAATTCGTTATAAGTATAGCACAGTTTTATTTGCTGCTGTTCTGTCTATGATTATTGAAACTAGTTTTAAAAATGATAGTTTCAAATTAGTGAGGAAGGATTAAAAAAAACAGTTAAATATATCTGAACATATTCAAAGAAAGAAAGATATCTCTTTCATAAAAATCATACTCAACGATTCTCCTGTAGATGCACAATCTTTACCTTACAGTTTTTTAAAAAGCTGTTAAATTGTGTCACTGATATCTGTCGATTCATCATATTGAAGAGAACAACATGAATATCAATTAATTTTTTATGTCAATGTTCTCTAGGATTTTCCTCATTTGTTTTCAATCCACTGCATTACAGTATTTAGGGACAATTGAAGATCTTGCAGCAATCTAATTGCAGCAATAATTTTAGTTTTTTTTTTTTTTTTTTTTTTCTAAAAATAATTAACAAGGAAATTTGACGTTTCCCAGAAATTTTCGATTCTAAATTTTTCATCAGAAAATGGTTTAATTGTTTTTCCTAATGGCTTAATTTCAATGATGCATCAGGCACTACACATAATTTCAACATAGGGTTTTTGAAAACATTTATTGAGCTTTTACTTAATTGAATAATAAGATCCTTAATTTAACTTTTTTTCTCAAGTCATTATTTTGTAGATCATATGCGTGATCTTTCTTATGCAGAGTTTAAAGATGACTCCACAAGTTAACCATTTTTGTAATGGTTGTATTGGCACGGCATATTAAGCAACAAAGTTTATCATTCATCATATTAAAAAAGTAAGCGAGTCTCCATTCTTCATGAAAATGTTAAGTCTTCATAAAGGTAGATCCGTTTTTGTCCAGCACTAATGTTAAGAGATATTGCCCCTTTTTCTAGAACGCTAATACAATTTTGACACTGAGCTATTTAAGTGTCCACAACTGTTTGTTTTTATGAATCACGACTAAGTTCCTTTTGTGTGTTAAAATCATATTTTTCGGCAGTGATCGAGACAAAATCACTTCGTGATCTACATGTGGCCATTCCTGACTTAAAGCACGTTCTCAAACTGATCAACAGCACAGAAAATAAAAGTCAAATTAGGGTAATCTTCGTAAGGAAGTTTCCATGCACAATGAATTTTATTGGTATCTATTTGAGCACTATGAATTTTATCGGTATATATATTACGCCTTTTGATTTTCTTTTAGGGATGACAGAAATTAAGGAATATAACATTTCTATTTTGGCTGTCTTATAACATATATCACTTCAATTTCGATTACTTAATATTAATTAATTTTTAAATAGCCAGATGAGAAAATTAGTATTTCATCATGACTTTCGTTTTAAAACTTTTTTGTTGTAATTCGGATGTTTTTGTGTTGTTAAATTCTATGAATTTCTTTTTTCAGATTGCCCGGGATGTGGAGTCGGAAATTTTCAGTGTTCTGAAATGCAGGTCTGTGAATCTACATGTGGAAAGATACTGTCTATTGGCTATCCTCTGAATTATGAAAACAATCACCGCTGTACCTGGTTAATAAAGTAGGAATACAACTCAAATTACTCATATTTTTCTATTGTTTGGTTGTTAACCGAATTTATCTGAATAAATTTTGAAGAAATTTAAATATGTATAAATCATCATTATTTATAAACGCTTCAAGTTCTTATGTAGATATAAATATAATTATTATTATAGCATTACTTTTAGCGAAATGTTAAACTTAACAAATGTGGCAGATGGCCTGAGTCATTTTTCAGGCAAAGCATCTGTTCTAAGCCACGCTGATGCGTGATTCCTGCAAATATAAACACTCTTTTCCTTTTACAGGTCATGTGACACAACGAACGTTAGTTTGGACTTGAACTCCGCGCCCGAAAATTAAAAACAACTCTTAAAAATCTCTCTTACATTTTTTTTACTTCTCGTGTGTGTGTCATTTCATTAATAAATCGGCTTTCGGCAAACTTAATAGTCTTAATTATTAGTCCCGAGATGTTTTAGTAATACTGAGAAGAAAAATATGTCATACAAGTATTTTAATATTACAAAAAAAAAAAAAAAAAGATGTGTGTATATTTAGCAAATTAAGAAATATACTTGCACAAAAAATTTCCGCGGGAAACATTTGCCGATCTTCGGCAAGAAATGAATCCTAAAATGAAAGCTAATTTTTAACTTAAAACACACTTTAACTTACATTAATTTTAAGTTCTCTTCTTCTTATTTCATTTTTAAGTTCAACTCACTGGCGGTGAGGAAAGGAAGTTTTATGTTAACTTTTACATTCTGTATTGCTTCTTCCTTCTGCAGTCAGATTAAGAACAGTAACTCGCCTGTACAGGCGGGGTAACGTTTGAGGGTGAGCAGTTGGTAGAAGTATTTTATAAGCTAATAAAGATTAATTTTTAGATGATGGCTCTTCATAGCAGATCAATCACATACGTGACTACAACACTGAGGAAGAAAATGTTTTGACGAATTTAATTCGATGTTGTTTGCAATTTTAATTGGATTTATTGAATATTATTGGACTCATGTATATGGTCTAGCCTAATGTCTAACCATTTAGTATCAGTAACAACAACAACACTATTATAATAAATAAGTTAAATAATGAACTGTAATACAAAAATTAAAAGTATGATTGTGATAGAATTCAAGTAATTATTTGCAAATTTACTTTTAGAACGAATTGTCGTGAAAACTTTACATTACATACATAAAACTAATTTCAAATTATTCCTGTCTTTTAGGGCCGATGTTTCCCATTTCATTAACCTGACTTTCCAGGATTTTGACATAATTGGTGGAGAAAACTGCCAGTATGATTATTTAGCGGTATATGATGGGAATACGAAAGACAAATCCCATCTAATTGGTAAATTCTGCAACGCCAAGAAACCTAAAATGGAAATAGTTTCTAGCTGGAACACACTCCTGTTGGAATTTTCATCAGATGCAGAAGTTACCGGAAGAGGATTCTTTTTGAAATTTTCCTCCAATAATTTTCGAAGGCCAGCTGATGTTTATGATGTAGATGGTAAGGACGTTTACCTGAAGATTTTCGGTTACGTTCACTGGTTTCACTCTTTATGATTATAGAGCGATAAAGTATTCTAAATACATTAGTTATCATTAGTTAAGGAAAAATCACAAAAATGACGATTACCCAAAAAGTTACATGTAGAATTCAATGAAACTAACCCACAGATTACAGCATAGTAACGTTTAAAATAATATGAAAAGAAATTACCAGTCAATTATGGTGTTATAGAAATTAGCATATGTATGACATGAAGAAATCGGATGTGTCAGTTTGGCATAGAAGGATTACCTACAATATGAAGTATGCAGCACAAACAGCAGCACGTAGAGCGATGCCCCTAGACGTAATACAACACATACAACGATATGTGATGCTATCAGTTATGCGGTCTATCAGTTCCGTAAGAAGTGAGAGCCATTGCTCTTACAAAGCATTTTCAAGCGTGTCAAGCATCTGAAGAGGTGGATTGAGAGCAGCTGTACGCCTTTCTAAAGCACCCCAAATTTGCTAGATGGAACTGAAGTCAGGTGATCGGGCTTACCATTCTACGCGCCGAATTGTTTGGTGCTGAAGATAATCATCCACGATGTGCAGTCTAACGCTGTCGTCCTGTAGCAGGAAATCATCACCCGTTGTCCGGGCATAACGGCACGCATCAGGGATGCATCATAAGCATCAAGGATGCTATCTCTATAGGCCTGAGCAATCACGGTTACATGCAGAAAGACATAGAGATATGTGCGTTCACCTAAGGAGATACTACCACACACAGACATTTCCTACTTCCTATGCATCTCTTTGGTGGATAATAACGGATTACAGGTTCTCTCCCAATAAAATAACGCCTACTATTGCTTTGGAGACTAAACATAGACTCCTCCCTAAAGAAAATAGCCGTCCAGTTTTCAGCCTTTTTCTAATGGGAATATTGACGTGGCCACTTCAAACATTTTCTTCTATGACGTGGCATGCGCAGCACGCAGATGGATGGTGGCTTCATGTAGAGACCTCCTTCATATACAGACAGCCTTTTGCGCACGGTTGACGTTGACACCAACTTTTCTTTAGCTGCAGCAAGGAAGGATTAAAGTAGAGTTGGAATTGCGGTTCTATTCCTTCGTATGCATGACAGCAAGTATCGACGCTCGTCATAGTGGTTAGCCGTACTTCGCTAAATCTCCTGGACGGCGAATCTGGGGTTGTAAATTTTTGCCAAAGTCCATGAACCACAGAATAACTTACATTTTACCATCATACCACTTCTGTCTGAGTTAGCCCTGCCTCTAGTTTCTCAACTCTCTTTCGCAGTTCTTCCAGCAAATAACGCCTAAACGTCATTGTTACCAGCTGTGTATTCCAGACTTCTTATCTCAGTATAGTCATTGTTATACTGAGATAAGTCACGTTATTCACATTGCTACGAAATGGGTATCCCAGATTTCTTATCTCAGTATCATAGCGAAATTTGAAGACCTGCTCCAAACCATGCAATTTTATGCTGCTCGCGGATGCTAATTTGCATACTGTAGTTTTACTGAGCAACTCTTTGACAACATATTCAAATTTTATACGGACTGGATTATTTTTGAACAATTGTCGCTATTTTTGTGATTTTTTCTTAATTTTTGAAAACTACCGTAAATATGCATTTCCTGTTATTGTTCAGCATAACTCAATCTTGTCCGTTAAGGATATGCGATTTTTTTTACAGTAACTTAACTATCTCTTGCATATTACCGGACATATCTCATATTCATTGCGTACAAACTTTGGTTGCATTTTATTATTCAAGATCTTATGTGTAACATTTTTAGAAGGATGAAAATATATTTAATCCTCTACGCAATGCTTTGTTGAGTTCGAACTTATACGAACTATTAGAATATAATAGTTTTAATGATTTCTGCCTACTGCTGATTTACGTGACCAAAATGATATTTTCTCTTAATAGTTGTTGCTAAATAAATAATCATTTGCCAGACATAGTTATGTTACAATTCGGTGCGGGCGTAAAACCGAAGGTACAGTCATTATTTCATTCGCAAGTTATAAGCTAAGAAATTCATCTACAGTAGATAGTTATTGTTCTACTATGCAATGTATATCCCGTTATGTACGGTAAATTTTATTTTGCATATAGAATAACCGTATATTAACAGCATTTTCGTTCTTCCCCTTATGGTAAGCAGTGAACTAATAGAAAAATTTCTTTGCTTAATGTTTTTGGTACCACGACGTTTTCTAAAATTCATAACCAAAATTATCTTAACACCTACTGACAAAAGTTCACTTTTTGTTTAATATTAAATTTAATATAGCATGTTTGTTGCAGGAATATCGAATCCTTAATATTTTCTGTTGTACAAACACATTTCAGGTTCCATAGAACAATGTATATAGTTTCGGTAAACTATAAAATATTATCCTTTGTAACACTCAGAAACGTTTTAAAGGCGGTTATGTCTGCTAACTGAACCTATTTGAGAAATTAGATATATGTTGAACAATTGAATTAGTTTAACTACCTTAATGAATAAAAATTCTTTACAGATGGAAGAAATAGAAGTCTAGCTGCACAATATTTCTATGAAAACTTTTTTTTTTTTTTTTTTTTTTGCATGTGCATTTTTGAACAGAATTTATTTCTTCTAGTACATTTTTCTTAAATGAAAACGTATCTGGGAGGAAGTAAAGCACTATAATTTGTGTATAGCTTCTGTATACAGTTTGGTCTATTTTAGCAGTATAAACTAGCATCAAACTCCTAACAGACTTAAAGCGAATTTATCATTTAGTCTGAAGTAACAGCAGTCTTTAAAGGGTTTAAAACAACTTCTTTATGAAAGTCAGAACTTGAACATAAATGCACGTCTCGTGCTCACATAATCAAACCACCACTTGTAGGGATGAAATTTAAGATAACGGTCAAATCAAGTTTAAAACTAAGCCTTGTAGTCAACGATTACAAAACTGATTTAATGAGAAGTTGGCTCAAAGAAGGCAACATGAAGTTCTCAGGGGCGTAACAATTTAAATGTTAGCAACAATAATATAAAGCCAAAGAATTATAATCTTTTAAGAGCTAGAGAAACATAGTAGGGTGACCTCGAAAGGTAAAACCATGCTTTGTATTAATCCGAAATCCTCGACTTAAACAACTCTGTGATTTGCATTATTGTAAAGAAACAGAACACAGAAGGGATAGCAAAGCTGAAATTATATATAACTGTGTTCATCAAATAATAATAACCCTACATTTCAATATACGTATGCATATTCGAAAACAATTTTAAGTCCTCTATCTGGAGTGAGTGCACATCTAAAATCTCTCAATACCTAGCATCCCAATGTATCTGTGCACATACATATACTAAATGAGGTAGTAAATGAGTGATTTATAAGCCTCGTACATCCGAAACAAAAGGCTTATAATAATCGTTTGCCTAGATATTTTTGTGAATGATAGATTGCTTTTTTAACGTAGGACAGTTCGACAACTAAAACGATGCATGGAGTAGATATCAGCAGAGCTCATTACTGTTAAGAGATTAAACCAAATATTTTCTTAATGTCAGTGTAGGCTTTGGAGAGTGGAAAGGAATACCGAACAACCAAGTGAGGACACTTACAGTGAGATGCAGTCCTAGATTGATAAGCAGTCATGATACTCTTCTAGTTGATACCTTAGGGTACTGAGATAAGCTGAAAAGTATAATAACTAGGCTGATAACATGGAGAATACGTTCCCTACATTCTTACTCAGGGCAATTTCAACTCGTTTGTGTTTCAGCTGTTTTTAGAAAGCTACAGAACTTCATAAATTCTTTTTCCCGCCGAAGAGCAAAATTTATATCATTGTAGAGTATAATAAATTACTGTGGTGTCTGTAAGTCTACTCAATTTCAAACTTGTTTGTCTTAACAGTTACGCCTTATAATATATATATTTCTTAAGTGCATTAAGCCATTTATTCGCTATTCTCTACTATTTAGATGATCTCACATGCCCAAAACCTTGGAAGTACTACAATGGCTATTGTTACAATGCTTTTCACGAAAGCGAGGCCCTACAGTGGTATGAAGCGGAAGCCAAGTGTAGGAAGCTTGGTGCAAAGCTTAGTGGAGACCAGAAAACTGGACACCTTGTCAGTATATTGGACAATAAAGAAAATACCGTTGTACATCATTTCCTCACAGAGTACTGGAAAGCAAAACACAAATCCCTATACATTGGTGAGTAACAAAAGTACTGTTTTATGTCTCTGAGAAAAGGATAAATTACTAACAAAATTTAAGGTTTCAGCTTCTTATCTATATCACATAATCTAAATTATTGATGTGATGGGTTAATTCCCTGATATCTAAAAGCATAATATATGCAATGTAACAGAAAATCGCGATCATTGTAGATACGACATGCACTGTCTAGGTGAAATAAAACATATTAGAAGATGCTATTATTTTTCCTGTTGCCGTATGTTATCATAATTTTCCTGACCTTACCTTAATTTTTTATACAGGCATACCAAGGATGTAGCAAATGAGATATCTTTCTCAAGTAAGAAACTGAAAATTTATTTTTAATTAACATTTATTAAATAGTAATAATAAAATGATTATAAAAAATATTTAGGTGGAGGGAGCATTTTGATATTTGCTTCAGGTTTCAAAATCCATCAGCACATTTTTCTGTTTCATTTCCTTTTATTTTAAACAGAACAAATGCAGTATACAATTGCTTTTGGTTTTCTTGTCAGGGTATATAATACAGATACTGAGCTTTATTAATCTAACTAAATACTAAGCTTCGTTAATCTCTCAACTATATCAAACTATATTTTCAAATATATCAAGCTATATTATAACAAAAACAATATATATTTCAATATAACAATATACATCAAATATATCTAATTTATTTTCAAATATATCAAACTATAATTTGATATAGTTGAACGTCAAAAAAACAAATGCAGTATAAAATTGCTTTTGGTTTTCTTGTCAGGGCATATAATACAGATACTGAGCTTTATTAATCTAACTAAATACTAAGCTTCGTTAATCTCTCAACTGTATCAAACTATATTTTCAACTATATCAAGCTATATTATAACAAAAACAATATATATTTCAATATAACAATATATATCAAATATATCTAAATTTATTTTCAAATATATCAAACTATAATTTGATATACACTCAAGTCCATAAATTAAGGATAATTCGGAGTCACGCGGAAATCGAACTCTAAAATAAATATATCACCTGTAAAATCACTACACACATCTTCAAGAATCATATGCAAATTTCAGGAAGTAACCAGATGAAACCGATGGTAAGTTACACTGACGAGAGTGTAAGGGAATGATATATAAGGAATACAGGCAAAGAAGTAAAATTGTTCGCAGGCGCTTTATAAGCATTTCAGTGCAATAACCGAATAGTTATGACACAAAAAGACGCATTTGGATGATTTTTTACGTGGCAGAATTATCGGCCGTCTGGAATGTGGGCGTACCCAACTGGAAGTATCAGACGAACTTGGAATTGCCCAGAGTGTCATCTCCAGGCTTTGACAACGTTTCCAAGATGATGGTAATGTGAGTAGACGTTACAGCACAGGTCGCCCCAGAGTTACAACGCCAAATGAGGACCGGTATTTGGCAGTACCTGCCAAAAGAAACAGGCGGAACACAGCCTCAGACCTGTCTCGTCAGCTCTCTTCAGCCACTGGTACGACAATTTCAAGGTAGACCGTGTACAGACGATTAGGGCAGATTGGTCTATATGTTCGTAGACCTGTCAGATGCGTTCCACTTACTGCAACTCACTGTCGCCTGCGGTTAGCCTGGAGTAGAGAGCATGCATTGTGGACACCGCAACAGTGGGCTTGTGTGATGTTTTCCGACGAGTCCAGGTTTAGCTTGCAGTCTGATTCTCGCCGGACTTTCACATGGAGAGCTCCAAGTACCCGTTACCACCAAGAAAACATCATTGAACGACACAGTTACGGTGGTGATGGAGTGCTCGTTTGGGGTGGAATTATTCTGGGTTCCAGAACTGACCTGCATGTTCAAATTGGAACCATGACAAGCCAAATCTATCGGGACGTCATTCTGGAACAACATGTACGTTTGTTTCGGGGTGCCATGGGCGCACAATTTCTGTTTATGGATGACAACGCCCGTCCTCACCGTGCAAACATCGTAAGCGAATGCCTTCAATAGAAAAATATCACCCGTATGGACTGGCCAGCATTCTCACCGGACGTGAATCCAGTAGAACACGTGTGGGACATGCTTGGCCGTGTTGCAGCCCGTCAACTTCCTCCTACATGTCTACCGGAACTTCGGAGAGCATTGCTTTTTGAGTGGTGTAATATCCTCCAAGATCAGATCGATAATTTGATACTCAGCATGGCTAGGTGTTGTATGGACTGTATTGCATCGTCTGGGAGACATACAATGTATTAACAATCATACCAACCATGTAATATTGGTTTTTTGTAAATAGGTTTTTCTTTGCAATTTGCTCCAGGGAGAAAAAATTGCTAATTTTTTTAATATCAAACATATAGCATCTTTTTTTGCTCTTTACCTTTTGTTTAATAAATAAGCTTTACAAATAAGTCAAATTTGTTTTGCTTCTAACTCTTCCTTTGCTTGATTTTGCATTATCCTTAATTTATGGACATGAGTGTAGTTGAAAGATTTTTCAACTATATCAAATACATCTAAATTTAGTTTCAACTATATCTAACTATATTTCAACTATTCAAAGTTTTACTCAGCCCTTTTCTCATAACTACTGAATTATCCCAAATACATATAAAATTTCCACACTAGCAACACGATTCTAAGTTTTAGAAAGACGAAATGTGTGGTGATATATAAGACAGCTTCACATGTTATTAATGTAATATATTGAAATGCTGCTTCTGAAAAGTTGATTATATAGTATAATTACAATATCGTGAAACCAGGAAGTTATCTTTTAAAGGAAGTTAGTAAATGGATTTAATATGCGCTTTAAATGCTACGATGCATCAGTAGGATACGGTTTTGATAAAAATATTTAAAGGAAAACCTTTGTTTTATGCTTTCATTATTATAATATTTCATCAAAATCATTCAAAAATCAGCTTTTCTTATAAGGACATCAGCGTGCATGCTTTCTGTATAAGAAACACGCTTGGCTGAATTTCTGTACATGTCATGCCAAAAATGAACAACAAGAATCATATTTTTAACAGCTGTGAAAGCCCTGTCTTCAAAATAAATAAATGAGGAATATCCAATACCAAGAAAGTCAACAAGTAGATCATATTTATTTGGTATATATATAACAACTAAGGAGTATTTCTAACCTTCTCCTTTCCACTCGAGGCCACTTTCGCTTCGGCGAAATGTCATCTCGAGACGATTTTCCGCATATTTGGTGAATTTCTTTCAGCTGATTTTACACGCAGTTTAAAGAAATCTGATGGTTCTTTTATATCTGAAGATACTTGTGGCCCTGCAGCTCTTTTGCCGGATACAAACAGTATTTTTTGTGATATTTCTTCTATTTCTGGGCACGTTATCTATTCTGAATTTTCTGTCTCTTCTGAGGAATCATTATCGTTTTCTCCATTCACTACCTATTACCTTAATTTTTCCTCTTCTTACGCCTCTTGCTTCATCGCTGTCTTCATCACTGCTTTCCTTCTCTCAGTCGTCAAGTACGCTATACAATGATGTAATTTCGTTTTTCGTCAGTGAAAAATCGTAGTCATCTTTACTTGATGGATTCCTGCATTGTATTTCAGACTCCGCAGCTTCGAATATAATATTTCTTGTCGAATTCGAACTGACTTTGAAGATGCAGATATACCGATAAATCTAAAAAAAAAAAAAAAACAGTATTTGAGATTTTAATCTCAAACAGCAGTTGCAGTTGTGTTATACGCATCATCAGATCAAGTGACTGAGAGTCACCTCTCGATTGCAAAGGGCTAACTAATTTAGTACCTGAGTAGAACTCTCATGCCTCAGTGTTATCTTAAAGGTATGATGCGAGTTATGACCTAACTAACTTCCGAAGGATAAATATACAAGAAATTGAAAACCTCTTTGACTTTGCAGTGATTAGCTCAATGCAATTCAGCTGGATACACGAAAAGGTAATCCTCGATTTAGGTGGTAGATTGGTAACCCCGAAAGTGCCGTGTAAACTGAAACTGTGCGATATGAGTTCACGATGCGCATTGAAAAGAAATACCCATGTAGTAAATTTAACAAATCACACAGTTCAAAATAGAAGCATTTTTCCAAACATGGGTAAGGGTAAATTTATTGTCAGGGTCTGCTTCATATAAATTATTTTTTTTAACATGCCCAGCCGTGTTAAAATAATTGGTACTATTCGGTTTCGAGGGCCGTATTGCAGCGAAAATGTACGCGCAAAAGCGCCAAATCTAGCAAATGCGCCCATTTAATAGCGCGCCAAATCTAGAGTACGTGCTGATTTCAGATTGCGTAAGTTTATATAGTTCTATATTTCTTAAGACGCCATTAAAATACTAGTTTAATTTTTAAATCCTTTTGTGATTTTAAATCCTTTTTTGATATCCTATGGATTTAACAACTTGGTAATTGCCCATAACGAAAATTCAGCAATAGAATTTTGGATAAAGTGCAGAATCTCCCACTGCTTGACGCGTTTTTAAGAATTGCACATACTCGGTATCCATGTGCACATCGACCTATTTTCACTTTAAAAAAAAAGTCCTAGAACTGCACAAAAACGGCACTGCGCACACCCTTGATTTTATCTATGTACACATCGACCTATTTTCACTTAAAAAGTAAATGAAAATTGACAAAAATTCAATTGCTTTTACCCTTGTAAAAAGCGGCAAACAATGCCGCTTTTTACAAGGGTAAAGAGAGTGAGCGATTCTGCACTTTACCGAGAATATTTTCAAAGAAAAGGCATCATTCATTATAGAAAATTACCTTTGAACAACCAACGAGATGAAATTAGCGATAAGTCGGTAGCGAAATAGCGGTGCAGGCATCCATTCAGTTATGTTTAGCAATTTTTATATAAATTATAATAATGATCTGAAATAGTTATTTACTCTTACGCTTCCATTCAGTCATGTTTAGCCTTTTCATATAAATTTAAGAATAAAAAAGTATTAGATAAAATTAACCTTTCATCTAAATTAAAACATCAATCTTAAATAGTTATTTACTATTATACTTCCTTCTCGCCGCAGTTATTTGGGTTGCCGCAATTCTTTTTGGCAGCATTGGCATCAACAATAGTTTGGCGATTTTTTACGGCCCTCGAAACCGAATAATACCAAATACACTGGTGCGCAAAAATTAAGGACGAAGTCGAAAAATTAGCATATCAGCTAACGAAGAGGCAGAGCGGACAGAAAAGACCAATCAAGAGATTAAGTAAGGTGTGATGGTTACGGTAGCACCACATGCGAGCAGATATGCAAGGTAGAAGTAATGGGGGAGGGGAGTGTCTGAGTAGTATAAAACCATGTTGTCGGTGTTGTTTTAAGATCAATATTTTGGCAAAGAGATTGCACGCCGTATAGCAGTTAAAATCACACCGATTTGCTGCCTCAGCAAGAAATGGCGAATAATCAATCTGTTAGACGACATCTGGATGCTTTTACCCGAGGTCGAATCATTGGGAAGTTGGAGGAAGGCCGCAGTGTGACAAGCGTGGCTGCAGAGTTCGGAATTGCTCACAGCATCGTTTCACGACTTTGGAGACAATTTCAAACTACAGGAACAGCTATCCGGGGGTTTAGTAGTGGTTGTCCACGAGGAACCACACCCGCAGATGACCGGTATATATGCCTTACAGGCCAGAGAGAAACACAGGCGGCAGAAGACAGCGGGAGAAATCGCTTAGACACACGACACAGGCGACTGGACGACAGATATAGCGTTTTACCGTGGCCAGAAGACTGCACGGTGGTAGTCTGTTTGCACGACGCCCTGTACGGTGTGTACCTCTAACGCCTGCCCATCGGAGAAGGCGTTCTCTGGGATGCCGGGAACACCGGTATTGGAGAGATAATGAATGGGGACGAGTACTCTTTACAGATGAGAGCAGATGCAGTCTGAGTAGCGATTCTCATCGCATACTCATCTCGAGAGAGCGGAGAAGCCGCAATCATCCCTCGAACATCATTGAAATGGACAGGTATGGAGGTGGCAATTTCTCGTTTGGGGAGGCATCATGCTGGTTGTCGTGCAGACCTTCACATTTCTCGACGCAGGTTCAGTCAACGGGACCCGTTAATTGTAAACGAGATTCTTTCTTCCTATTGTGCGTCTTTTTAAAAGCGCTATGGGGTTCTGCAATTCCTTTTTCATGGACGACAATGCACCATGTCATCGCACAGTAGCTTGCCGAACAGCTCTTAGAGAGTGAGGATATTGAACGTATGGATTGGCCGGCACCGATCTCCGGATCTCAATCCCATCGAAGCATGTATGGCATTTTCTAGGCAGACGCTTGGCAGCTCGTACCTACCACCAGTAACGATTCCGGAGCTTCGATTGGCGCTGCAGACGAATGGGCAGTAATGCCTCAACAACTCATTGACACCCTCATTCTCAGCATGGGCAGACGCTGTGGAACCTGCCTAGCAGTCAGGGGAGATCATATCCCCTATAAAAGACCGGATGTTTCTTGGATGGACACCCATCACAGGGATTTTTAGGCCTTCAGTCGCATTGCGCTCCATGCTACTTTTTCAATAAAGCTTCTTTTTATCCCTCTGATTTCTCTTTTAGAAGTGTTGTTACATTATTCATGTCCTTACGTATTGGGATCTTACGGTATTAAATGTGTTGATTTGGAAAGCTTTTGTACAAAGTTATATTGAAAAAACCGTCTCGTCCTTAATTTTTGCACACGAGTGTAATTTTCAAGGGCGTTTAAATGGATGTTCTTCTAATTCTACAACTATGTTGAACTGATATGGTGTAAATTAATTTCTAGGTAAATTAAAAATTACCTGTCTTTGTAATCAATGCTACAGCCTCACGATCGGACAATCTAAATCTGAATCAAATTAACTTGGACTAATGTCCGGCAACTATCTCAATCAGGCAGCTGCTGTTCTTGATGCGAATCAAGCGCGGCAGCCGTTCACACAGCCAAAAATCTATTTCCTACAAGGTCAAGCGATAACGACTTTATTCTCTCAATTTATACTTTGTCACTTATCAAACTAATCTGTGCATAGGTCTTGACTGTATGTAATATCTGGAGTGTACGATTCTCTGTACTGTACGTGATCACTTAAGTACGGAACGAAGCGAGGCAAAAAAGACAGGCTTACATAAACTTTAAACTGTTCCTTAAACAAAATGTCCCAGGTATTGCTAATATTTTTATTTGATGGAAAGTCTTATTTGATACCTAATAAATAACTATGCATGAATTTGGTAAAGATATTCGTCATTTCTAATAAACAGCATTATATACAGAAGCAAGTGAGTGTTGCTAATATTTGAAAATTGCATTTCATCGTATTTATACTGGCGTCACGATGTACTTATTTATTATATACGTATTTAATTGACAGGTCTCAACGATGAACTCAAGGAAGGTGTGTACCGATGGAGTGATGGAAATCCCATGATATATACTGATTGGTAAATCTTTCTTTGATTTTGAAATTAGTAAATAAACGTTTTTAATCAATAACTTTGAAATTGGTATAGGGAAGTTAAATAATTTTGAAATTTGTAAAGGAAAGCTTATAATGATGCTGAATGTATAAAGCAAATAATGAGATTATATGAATTAAACAAGATTTAACATGACGTTATTTATTTGGGAATTGAAAGCTATTCCTTTCCCTAGAATTCTTATTAATTTTAGTCAAATTCAGTAAAAGAAGTATAGCATTATTTTGGCAATTTTTGATTTACGTTATTGTCGTCACAATGTGAAATAAAAATCGCTTTGTGCTTATGTGTGTAACTAGTTGTGTGGAGTTCAAAAACCCCTTTTCGAGATATCTTTGCAGAGAGAATTTATTTAGGAAAAATGGTTTTCATTAAGGGGACTCATACACCTTAAAACTAGCAAGACCTGCGAATATGTGACTATTGCAAGAATAGGGATACCTTATTTATTTTAAAAGCAATTACTTCCAACTTTTTACAGCTGACTACATAATATAGCTGCTTTCTGAAATAGTAATCAGAAAGTTTGTGTTGCCAAAAATATTGTTATTAATTTAATCGCTCTGTGACAAATTTTCGTCATGTTTCCACCTGCGCGCACAGTTTAAAAACATTCTGTTGCATAATTTAATTCTATATTAATATATAACATTTATAACATTTGGAAACTACTGTGAACCTAAATTTCTAAAAATTTATGTTAAATTTTTATTTTATTTGAGTCGAGTTGATAAAATGTATTTTGTTTAAAAAAAATTTGTAATGTTTCGTCCATAAATTTTTTCATATTAAATATTCATCAGATTTTTGGTTCAGTTAGAAAAATAGTGCCCATATAAAGAATTCCAATCCAATTTCAAGGATGACCATTAGCCATTTTTAAAAATATCATGCGGCAAGGCGGAAAAATGGCGAATATTTTGTCACAAAGAGGAGAAATTACAAAAATATTGTGCAACACAAACTTTCTGGTTACTAGTTTCAAAGCAGATATTACGTAGTCAGCTGTAAAAGGTTGGAAAGTAATTGCTTTTTAAAAAAAAAAAAAAATATCCCAATTCTTGCAACAGTTGCATATTCGAAGATCATAAGGGGTTTAAGGTGTATGAGCCCCCTTAAGTGAAACTGTTTTAAACAAACTATTTTTAATTGAATTAGTTAAATTCATTTTTTTTCTTGTCTTATACATTTACGTACTATTATATCCTTTAGATGAAATTCAAATTACTTAGCTTATTTTCCCACTCCATAAAGGTTTTCTGGATTAATGTGATTGCTAACGCCGAGTCATTTATTTTACAATAATGCATCACATTCTCTTATCAGCTACATGTCAGTATCTAAATCTTAATTCCTCAATTAACTACTGTTTGTCAATTTTTCTCCCAAACATAATTTAATAGATAATAGTTAGTATTTATTATCGATATACTCGTAGTTGGATTATCATATTAACTGGTGTTTTCTAAGAAAATATGTTTCATGCTTAGTTTTGTTCTTCTCATCCTCATTTTTTGTGAAGAAAAATTTAAATAGTGTCCTTATTTTTTAACTCAAACTTGGAACTTGGTCGTATAACTGGAGTTTAGTTGATTAATCTTTAATCAGTATTTTGGAGTACTGCCCTAAGCAGTGGCGTAAATAAGGGTATGCAAGGAATGCCGTCGCATAGGGACCTGAAGGCTTAGAGGGCCCTTAAATGTCCTGCTGAACTACATTTACATGTTTAAGCTTAAAAGAAGAATTCCATTACATATATATAGAAGCTTTAATTAATTTTCCCTTGATTAGCTTGGAATTAGAATTTCAATAAAAGAAGATTAATTAATATATATATTTTTTATCTTGTATTTTTTCCCTTTTGCTTTTCATTTTTATTTTTAGAATTTGGTACTAGACAATTCTTATTTTAATTTTGATTTTGGTTAAACCCCTTTTGCACGATTGTTAAATTAATATAATTGAGGAATAGCCTTCATTTGACTCCGATTTACTTTTCGCTTTAGAATCCTTAAGTATATGTAGATAATAGAATTCGTTTTCTTTAAGTTTTTAAGGGCCCCCTACCTGTATGGTGCAGCGCAATTCTGATGACGCAGAAGGAGCCCTTGGAAGCTGACCTGAAACAGCTAAATTCAGTGTTTGCAAAAGATAATATTCCATCATTCGACCATGAAATAGTAACTTCGTGGCTTTCCCCCTGTTTAGGGATAGCAGTGAGTGGGGCTAGGATTCTTGTAGGAGGGCCAACGTGAAAAATGATTAAAGGCGACCCCTAAAGAAAAGGTTCTCCACTCCCAAATAAAAAAAGCGGGGGAAGTAAATGGATGAAAAATTAGTACTATTGTAGTATGTGTTTCGGTATAATTCGCATTATAATCGAAAATCAGTAGAAATATTTCTCCTTTCTTAATGATTACGGCGACATGTTCCTTTTTTAATTCAACTATTAATTTTAGATAAACTATTCATTTATTTCAGTAGCTCTCAATGAAAGGAGAGAAACTCTGTCTCTCGCACTCACACAAAAAATCGTAAGTAACCTGAATAAAATCATCTGGACGTTCAAATACCCACTAAAGCAAATTTTCATTTCACCAGTGGTCAGGGAAATTTTTCCTTTTATTCTTTCTTCAGTTACGTATCTTTCACTGGTTCCTAAGAATGTGCTTTTATTTTTTAACAATTAATCCAGATGTGCTCAAAAATCATCATGAAACCACTGGCTCCTGGAATCGTTGATTTTTTTTTTTTTTTTTGAATTTTCGCGTTTTTTATATTTTTTATTTAATTTTTAAGCACATTAAATTTATTGGGATAGGGGCCCAGGAAAATTTTTTTGTATAGGGGCTCAAGAGTTCTAGTTACGCCACTGGCCCTAAGGCGGTAGCCGTTATTTGATTTTTGCACGTGCAGATGCGAGAGCATGCCGCCGATAAGACGAAAAAAAAAATTGGTGAAGTATTTTGTGGTGTCACCATCTAGCGGCACAAAGAAGCACTATTCTCTCCTAGTGCTATCGAGTTGGGGATATAGTAACCAGCACTTATTTATCTCCTGCAAACTTTGGTTATTTCCGCTGCTTTGAAAATATAAGTTCAGAATATCTACCAGTGCAATTGACTTTCCTCAGTCCTTTTAGCACGGGCGTAATTTGATAATAGTGAAATTCATGATTGGTTGTGTTACTGTTGACGTGCTGCTCTTAAGCATATCACTATATTTCTTTCGGATCTACCAGATTGGGATTTTTTCTTCAAAATTCTTGGTCAGCACGGTAAAATTTTTCTTTGTCTGCGGCTCCTGTTTTTAGGGTTTTGGAAAGTTATAGGATACTGTTCTGCTTTAACACAGGATTCAGACATATATACGTATATATGCATGTATGGATGGATGGATGTGTTCATGCATGCATCCATATATATAAGTATGAATGCGTGTATACATATACACATATATGCACATACATACATACACGCGTACATATATTTATTTCTGAATCCTGTCTCGATAACAAACAGTACCGGTTACAGATATATTCAGAAAATTCCCTGTCACTGCGCACCTGGAGTCACTCCCCATTGGAACGGTGTCAAAACACCCAGGTGCCTGGGCCAAAGGCACTTATGGTGACTGAATAAAAATAAATATTGAGATAGAAACTAATAGGTACTGGTGACACAAGAATTTTAACAAAAATTTAAAAGAGAGAGCTTAAAATACAGACATAAATATGAGAAGCACCAACACAAGATGTAGACATAATACTAAGAAGTTCAAGTATGAGATAAATATGGTGCAAGAGCTTGACATAATATATTAGATAGATGTAAAAACACACACATATATATATATATATTATTTTTTAATAAAATAAAATATTTCTATGTTAAATTAGGAACAGTTATAGGTTGAGAATTGGTCCATTTAAGGTAACATTTTTAAGGTTTGGTATCATTACTCATGAAAATTTTCTGGAATAGATTGAAGAGAATAAACAGTTTATCAATAGAGATTTCAGTGGATTGGATTTCTGGCATTTTTGCCGATACTTTTTGAATTATGCTTAGGTAGAGAAAAACCTTTGAACATATTATACAGTTCTTCGAACAGTTTGAGGATGTCTGCAAATGCACCCATTCCTAATTCATTAGGTTCGCTGGTCTAGAATTTTGTTTTTTAATACACACTTTTGGGTTTTGAATACTGTTATTAATTGTATTAGCAGATTGTGTGACATTTGCATATGAGACTCCAGGTGTAACCCTGGAGGATTTACTAACATTTTTATCATCAGTACTGTGATTTTTGAAAAATTTTATTTTTAGCCCAAAGGGTCATTAATCAGAAAGGCTATTCGAAACGGAATTTTGCGTTGAATCACTTAAAAGCGATGTCTCATTTTTCAAATTGTTACCATCAAACATTATGACCTTGTATTATATTTAAAGAAGCTAAATAATCAAGAATCTGCATGAATGCATGTACGTTTCTCGCATTGTAAAAAAACAACAGCACCTAGAGTCATTAAATTTTGAATAACACAGTCCTCCACCCGAATATGGGCATCTGGAACCGGAATTTGTTTTATCGTCATTTCATATTTTATAAAAATTTAACGAATTTCTTTTGAAAAAACCAACAATTCCAAAGCGAGCAGTGGAAAAAACTGTTTGGAATGAGACATTTCTAACTCCAGAGCGCGAGACTCCTATCGAGCGCTGACGAAAAACGCCCGTTTGTGCGTATGTTTGTGTGCCCGTTTGTGTATATGTAAAATCTGAAGGCTTTTAAATATATCTTCTTTTTAGTACTTTTTCTCTATAAAGTATTCCAACAATAAAAATTACTGTGAACGCAATAAATAGTAAAAATAAGTGAAAGGAAAAACCAATAACTTTGCAGAAATGTTGTCTTGAACCGTAATTGACTGAAAGCAATAAACAGACAGGAATATTTCTTAATTTATTAATATTATTGTTGTTAATCAAAGCTTTTAATTTGCTCAACAAGCATAGTTAATGGATCTGTTTCAGCAATATTCAAAGAAACTATATCAACAAAATCCATAAAGCACACATTATTGATCCCTTTAAATTGCTATATGATTCCTATTGCAAGCACACAGTACACTTCAGTGAAATAAAACTGTATATGCTTTCTTACAGTCAGGTGTTCGTTTACACGTTAAGTTTTTACTTGTTAATCAAATATGCTTAGGTAGAGCATATTTGATTGTAGCTCATTTGTAGAGCATGTTACTCATCATGCTTTTCCACTGAGCCACCTTCAAGCCACTACAGTCCTCTCAGCCATCTACGCAGTGTTTATCTATCTACCTAGATATATATATATCTGTATCTGTGTTGTTATATATTGACTGTACTCTTCTTCAAGTACCTTCTATGCGCATGTATATTTCTTTTTTGCATTCAATCAATGTCGTCTGCTCTGCCGGGGCGGCTCAGGGCTGCGGCCTGGTAGTTAGTGGTTAACTCCCGCTAGGTTGATAACCAATTCTCCATGGATATACCTGCGTCGGAAGCCAACTGAGCTGTTTACTTCCCCTAACAACTATACCGTCTGGGCGGCATATGAATCATTGCTGCAACCTACGTTATTGTTTTCTTTGAATTAATCTTGAACACGTAATATCACTTCAATATAACTTAAAATTTAATATCCAAAATAAGTGTGTGAAAGAAATGGCATTTTTTGTCAAGTGTTGACATGTTAAACGAATAAATTTTCATCCTTTTATATTAGATGCGATGTAAACTATTCTTCGTTCATAACAGCATCTTATCATCACCACTACACTAAAAATACGAATCTTCATGTCTTGCTGTTTTAGTGATTACCGGGTTTCTCTGAAGACAAGACAATTAAAAGATGATAAGAGGAGTACCAAACTTTTAAGTGCGTGTTTATTTAATTTTTCCATATCAAAACTTATATTCCTTTAAAGATTTCCTCATATTTGTGATCATCTCATCATGTTTCATCTTTTTTCATCATGTTTTCATCTTAAAATTAATTACCTATTTAATCGTTTTCAGCTTTAAATTTATGTATTCTATCCACAGGGCTCCCGCTGCCCGCAGCCTGCTAACTCAACCAGATGGTGGTGCATACCAAGACTGTACCATGTTGAGGGTGGATAGTGGTCATTCAACAGCCCACTGGCATGACATACCATGTTCACTAGGAAAGCTGGCTTTCCACAATTGGGATGGTATTGATTGGGGAGACCAAGATCCAAGCAAACCAGAGGGCGAAAGAGAAATTCTATCTTCCATCAGTAGTTATATTTGCAAGATGCAAAGCGATATACCAGCTGGTAAATTTTGTATTTTGCTTTTCAGTGGCATAAAATTTCCCTATCTAATTCTGGGGTACTAATTTACAAAACCATAAACAGACATGAAACCGAAAACAAAAGTTCAATGAAATAATGGTATAATTTTTATAAGCAAAATAGTATCAAAATTTCCTTACAGTTATTCTCTGTTAATCGAAATATTTGTCGAAAACCTGTCAGTCATCATGACTACTGGAGATTTTCAACATTTATAACTCAAGCAAAATAAAATCTGCTTGATTGATGATTCTATGATGCATAGTAATATTAATTGTTCTTAAAACGCATTTTGTAATTTTAAGTTTAAAATCAACAAATCATACATCAAAAGTACCACTGCATTCCTTGAAAACTGAAAATTAATTCATGTGTTGCATATATAACTTGTAGAGATATTAGGCTATTTTGGAAGCAGAAGATGTGAAAAATGAGCATTGCCCTCGAACCTCTCCAATAATGGTCAGCACCGAGCGTGCTGACCATTACACCACGAAGGTATGCTAAGAAGGTGGGAGAAATACCTTATAACCTTTTCAACGTATTCCTGCAGAATCCTCTGATGTTTCACCTATGGTCTACTGTGATTTGGTCTCTTGAAAAAGCTCTTTCTAAACGTAAACCACCACGATTGATGGACTCTGGAAAATAATGGAAGTAAGCAATATCCTTGGCAATTTTACGAACTCTTCTATCACAAAAATTGCGATGCACACTTATAGTCTAGAAAATAGGCTATCAAATATGATATCAAACATTAAAAAATAATCTTTATATTTTAAACTTTCATTAAACGGCCCCCAAATTGCTCTAAAAATGTGTAAGATTACTCTACACTTGACAAAAGTAGGTTTACTCGTAAAATTAGTAACGCAACAACCTTGAGTTCGGCGTAGATTTAGTCAAGATCTCAATCAAAGAGGAACCTGTACCTGTTTGCCCCCGAAATCGAAGACATCTTGATTAAATCTACGCCACACTCAAGATTGTTGCGTTACTAATTTTATATTTTACTTGACGTGTTTGTCATCTGTTTTCAGGTTTACTCGTTTTCAACGTACTCATCAATATTTTGCCTTCATGATCCAGGCGTTTGTGAAGGTGATAAGACATTTTTGCAGGCACTGTAACACTGTTCATTTAGTATGGTGTTAAATTCCTTGGCGATCGCTTTAGGCCGTATGTCTTTGAAATACTATGGCTATGAACATTGTTCCTTAATGTAGTTCTACACTTCTCTAATCAGCGGTGTCAACTCCGGTTGTTCTACTAGCCTGCACATTCCAGTATCTAATGTGGTACCTCAGTACATATCTCCGCTTTTGAAACACGGCCAACTTGGTACAAAACTTTGTTTAGAAGCGAAAAGTTTTGTTTGGTTTACGATATTTCTTTGAAATACCACTGGAATGCGACGAATCACGGCACTGTAGTGCGTCAGTGCATCTGTTGTTGTTATTAAATATTCACCTGTTACTATTATTCGACCTGTTGCTGTAACTCACCTAACTGTATTATTCGATACCTATTGCTATTACTCAATATACAACCCAAGCTAAAATTCTGAATTTCACCTGTTTCTGTGTTTTCTCGAATACATTTTTGTAAATTCATTAACATAAACTTACGAGGAGTCAAACAACGAAGAAAATAGTTAGAATCATATCAATATAGAGATGAAAAAATAAATTCTTTAAAAATATGAAGATGACATCCATATCCAATATTTGGCTACAGCATACTGTACGCCGAGAACGATGGTATATATGATGATGAAAAACATAAGCTGTATTAAATCTGCTATCTGAAAAACATAAACCGTATTAAATCTTGAACGGGAATGAAATCATTCAGAAACAGTGATCAAAGACATTAGATCATGTTCATAAATTGCTTTTAATCAGGATAACTGAATACTTATATATTTCATTCATGTACAGTTTCGTCCACTGCATTTGAAATTTAACATTAAACAATGTTATAATAACAAAAATGGGATTTTTTATTTTTACGAAAGGATTCCCTTTCCCTCTTATTTCTTATTAGAAGTTTCGTTTGGTATTCGTCCAATGATCTGGGACGAATAATTGTTGTATGCCTAGTTACCACTGCATGACGATATACACAATTTTCTGATGTGGTGTAATAAGTGGTATCCATGCGAAACTCGCCAGTTCTGCATATTAATCTTGTCTTTTGAAGTAGATCTTAATCACAAACATTCCGTTTTAAATATGTATGATATTACTTTATACCTCTTCACCATCCTTATACTCATCTTTATTTTCTGCCGCTGTTTCAGTCTTCAAAAGTTTAAGATGAAATTTGGGCAGTAACAGAAAATTCAGTAAACGATGAAACACAGATTTATGCTCGTTTAATGTGCTTTCTATGATTTCCATTTCAATGTTCACTCTTCGTAGAATAAATCCTCCTCTCTAAAAAATTAAATCAACAGTGCATTCCGCATTTTTGTATATTCTCATCGTGCTGTAAGAGCTAATTTTGCTAAGCGATTTATTACATCGCTGAGTATTAATGTTAATACATTTTGCGCTTATTTTTAGTTAGCTATGCAGCTATTAGTTTAATCGAAATTATTATTATTATACTAAATTTGAATCAGCTCGACCAACGGCCGAGCGGTAAAGTCGCTGAACACTTGTAGCTTGGTCTGTTGTACACTTGTAGCACACTTGTAGCTGCGAATGGGTTTGGCTGCATGGGTGTTTTCGTAGTTTTCTTTTCCATGTGCAACGGGTGTATGAGACAGTTTTCCTTGTTTGCATCCCTTCCCTTAGGCAGAGAGCCCTCTTGTGCATTGCGTCATCAAATGCGCCACGCCACCTCTAATTTCAAACCCATATTCTTATTTTTGAATTCCTTCGCATTCAGTTGCCTTCAAAATTGCACTAATAAATAAATTCCATAGGGATTAATATCATCATTTATGTTAAATTACGAGAGTTACACTATTTGTCAACTATAACTGAGTTCTGAAACTAATTAATTATCGTAGTTTTCTTGTATATTGTTTTACATGCGGAAGTTCTTCATACCATTTTAAAGAAAAAGGGAAAACCTTTTTGTTTCCCAACCTTTTGCTTTGTTTTATTTTGTTTTCCTACCCAAAGAAGAATAAAAATTAAATATTTTACACTATTTCTGTTTTCAATATTATTATTTGGTATTAAAATTTGCTGCTACAGTTCTTTTTGATCGGATCAGTTACCAGTTTCGCTCTTCTGCTAACTAACTGTCCATTAAATTATTTGCTACCAAAACAACAAATTCAATGTATTCGCAAGACATACAGCGTAAATTCACATCATACATAGCACAAAACCACAAAGTAGTAACAGATAATAATATAGCACGTTTTTTTTTTTTTTTTTTTTTTTTTTTTTTTTTTATAATATAATATATATATAAAAATGGCAATACATTTTATTTCTTGCCTTGCACATACGCTCTACTAGTTGCTTGGAGACTACCTAAACAATGACTTAATTTCATCTTAAGAGTTCCTCAAATGTAAGGCTGCGATTGGTGTGTTCTTTAAGCTCAGTGGTATACTTGTCTGTTGAAAATGTCCTTAAAAGCTCACCAAGCATAGAATTTTTAAGGTGGTGTTATCAGGAGAAGGAGATGATAATTTTATCAGGCCACCACGTGCACATTTCATATTCCCAAACAAATGAGAATTTACAATATGAGAATTTACATTATCCAAATTTACAATATTCGAATATTCTAGCTCAAATGAATTTAATCATGAAAATGATTAAATTACTGAGATTTGAAAACAGTTTATTGAGAGAATATTCAAATACATAAAGAAAATCCTAATATAATGCCTAAAATGTGAGGCTGGAAAAATGGAGTTGTGAAATTATAATTTTTTACATTTTGTCCAGATGAATTGTACGGTAACAATATCTTACTTCGAATCGAGCCTGTTTCGTACATGAGAATCTATCTTATACTCGATACTTTTGATAGAAATCTTCATTTTCATTAAAGTGTAATGGGCAACCTACCTGCGCCTGCCACAATGTGATTACTTTTGGTTTTGGCGTTCGCTAATTGCACGAATTACGATACGATTTGATATTACATTCAGACTTAAGAAATTTACACAATTGTCATTTAAGTGTGAGAAAAGTTGAAGTTCCTGTATAAGTTGTCTAGAGTGAATTTTAAAATTTATTTCTTGGAAGCCCTGCATAGTTACTTTTTGAAATGCTATTGAAAAATACCTTTCTTTGATGATGTTTTGTTAATTAGAATTATAGCTATCACAACAGTTGGAAAAATAACAGTGCTTTCAGTTATGATACAATAAATCAAACTCAGCTTTTGGAGAAAATTTAACACCAAAGCAGAAAGATTAAAACCAAACAAGGACGATTAAAGTTTTTCACAATTTTCATGTTCTTTAATTCATTATAGTGTTTCTTTCTTTTAGGAAAGGTAGAGAGCTTGTCAGTTCTTCGTTCCCAGAATAATACAGAAACTATCCCGGCAAACTTGAAGAAAGAAAAGTACTTTGTATGCAGAAACAAAGAAATAATATCAACGCAATTTGTATGCAACTTAGCTGAAGATTGCAGAGACGGGAGCGATGAAGAAACTTGTCGTAAGGCCATATTTTTAATATATTTACCTATTTTGTTTCCAATTTTCCACTTTTCAAATATAATTGTAAGATCCGATGATGAAATTAAAACTAGTGCGATTATCATTAAATTATTTGTTAAATTGATTATCATTTGTTAAAATCACGATTTTTGTTAAAATTTTAAAAATATCTTAGAAAGCTTCTGTACCTCAGATAACTAATACAAAATCTATGAAACTAGCTGCCATCAAGCAGATTATAACGTTAGAATTAAGAACAAACGTAAACATTATTCTTTTCATTTCACTATAAAGGCATCATAAATTTTGTTTTTTATCTTCAGTTTTTTTAACAGTTCAGGTATAATACCCCTGTGTCCGTACAACGTCCTGGTATCATAATTGCCTGGATAATCTTCCAGTGAGCATGTGGCGGTCTCGGGTGTTAGCTCGCTTGTTCTATAGCATTTACTTACTCTTCCTGTATAACCATTTATTAGCAAAGATGACAAGAGTGGCGCTATGAAACCCCCGTGTGATTGAAGAGGGTTGAACGTGGCAGAGCCGTAGCTACGTTTTTCAGCCCCCGGGTTTGACAAGAATGGAAAACACTTCATTCTAAAATTTCTTAGCATTAATTTACGCCCGCTTCCGAATGCTACGCACGAGGGAAAATGTCCACCCTTGCTTCCCCCTAACTTCGCATCTGAAACGTGGGTATATTTTGTGGAAGTTAAATCGAAATAGTGTACATATGCGATCGTCTACGATATCTGAACTGCTTTATGGTGCGAGTTCCTGATCGGCACTAGGGACCATTCTTTCCAGGGCCAAGCAAATTTGACTGTCGCGCAGAGAAAGCATTGCTCCAAATCGCTCAAATGTAGACAGAACACGTTTGGTTTGAACATCTATGCTACGGTATTCGACGTCTCGTGTTCTAAATTCGGTCTAGACAGAACACGTTTGGTTTAAGCATTTAGCAACGTCCTGGTACCTCGACGTCTCGAGTTCTAAATTCGGTCTAGACAGAATACGTTTGGTTTAAGCATTTAGCTACTCGACGTTTCGAGTTCTAAATTCGGTCTAGAGAGAACACATTTCATTTAAGCATTTAGCTACTCGACGTCTCGGGTTCTAAATTGGGTCTAGACACAACACGTTTGGTTTAAGCATTTAGCTACTGGACGTCTCGAGTTCTAGATTCGGTCCAGACAGAACACGTTTGGTTTAAGCATTTAGCTACTCGACGTCTCGAGTTCTAAATTCGGTCTAGACAGAACACGTTTAAACATTTAGCTAGTCGACGTCTCGAGTTCTCAATTCGGTAACGAAAGCGCAGCAGCAAAGACCAGGGACCCTTATAGCCGCCCTCTATTGGCGGACATCGCCATAAATACATAATAATCTTTAAACCAGAAGCAAGATCCCGAAAATGAGCAGCGACAGCATCAGCAATAACACCTCAGCAAGCAATTTTATAAAAGTATAATTAAACTCCATGACTATTAAACTCTTATATAATTCCACGATTCAATAGCGCTACATGCATTTAAATATTTTAATGTTCTGTTGAAACATCGTAAGTTATTTCTTTTTAGATAATTGGGATATTCATACGCATTAAGATCGGTATTCTGTCACAAGCAATTTTATATTTATATGTGACGAGTTTTGTTTTACTCACAGCTTTAAATGTATCAGTTTTACTCAGAATGACGTACAAAATGTATCGGTATTTAATTCTTGGTTATCACCCTTATGACTGCAGTGAATTCTATGATAAAAATATTAATTTTTCAATTAAGATACCATTCAGTGTAAAATAACTATATCTAGTCACTTGGAAAAAAATGTTTCATGTGTGTAGCGTGAAACTGAAGATCAGTTAGAAACCCATTCAAGCTCCTTTCGTGTGGCTAAAATCCTTGTAAACATTTTAAAGTTTAATTTGATTCTCTATTTTTTTTAAATATAATCTATTGCAGAAATAGAGACGATTTATTATTTTAAAGAATCATTGTTGTTGCTCTTTTCAGCTCCGCATGAATGCCTACAAAGTAGTTTTCGCTGTCATAATACGAAATGTGTCTCTATTGCTGCATATTGCGATTACAAAGATGACTGTGGTGACCTGTCTGATGAATCACGATGCGGTAAGTTTAATTATTTATTCAAAATATATATTCATCATTGATGCATATCTCCTTGTATTAGGTATATATGCTACAACTTTCATTTCAGAGTTATACATATAAAGGAAAATGGAGTTTTTGAAATATTTCCGTCTGAAAATTTAGCGTATTTTTAGTGAGCAGCGGAAAACTTTTTAAAAAATGTAGGAGATATTCCATATATATTAATGGCTATCTATTTTCTGCAACAAGCATTTGTCGATATCGTTAGTTCTATACTATACTGGTTATTTTCTCGTCTAAGAACTGCTATGCAATTTTATCATATTTCTTTTACAAGTTTTTATAAAAAATGGAATTATGGAAAAATTTTTGCTCTTGACACGCATAGTGTAACATATTTGACATTGCAATTTATTTTTGTATCATTCGTCTTTCCTGTCATTCTAAAGTGCTCAAATTGATAGCACTTGTGACGTTGACAACTAAATTTTAAATTTTATCATCAGAATGAAAAGGAGAAGAGTAAGCAAAATGTATTCGGTCTGACGTAATTTCATTCACTAACAAATACAAATTTCACGAATAAATAGTGTATTTTAAAATCTTCTTTCTGTCACTGTGAAAACTCTGAAGAAAGCTATCTGCTTATGATTCGCTCGAAGTGTGACAGCTTTCGAGGAATGCAGTTATCACCACTAGAAACTAAAGTCGCCTCGTATGTGATGAATATTGTCCGTTTTACGAAAATGTTTTAAAATACATTACACCGAATATTTAGATTATAATGTATATAATACTTAGCAATACACATTAAAAAATATTAAGGGCTCTAGAACAGTTGTTTCAAACTGGAAATCCCTCGGCGCATCTGGCCTTTGAAGAAATTTTACAAGGCCTCTGAGTACATTTCAATAATCCGTTTGTAGTAAATGCAATGCTTATAATTTTTGATTGACTACGATTATTTTCTCCTACAAAACGTGCTGAAGCAGAGGGATGTTACTGCTCTATGTAGGTTTTAGGGGATCTTATAGCTAACAGCGCACCAGTCGCTAGTTGTCCCCTGTAGATCGAGTTTACCGAAATCGAAATCGAGTCATGACCGAAAATTTTAGCAAATAAAGTTTCCAAATGTATTAACAGTTACTGAGCTCCCCTGTTTACGCGGTTTCACAATATATATCCTCACGTATAGATATATATGTAGACTCTGTGCAGCGCGGCTCGCGAGAGTAGGAGATTTTGAAAATCCCGCAATGAGCAATAATCTAGATATATAAAGAAGAATGTTTGTTTGTGTATTTTTTTGCAAAACTCAGTCACTACTATAGCTATTGTCGCCAAACCTTTTACCATTCTTTTCTGGGTCCTAGGAAAGGTCGACGTTCACTTTTTTCCAAAACAAAATAGCTAAAATCAGAGATGTTAATAAAAAAAACTCTAAAACCGCTAATTTTCGCCCTCATTTTTACGAGTGGCAACAGCGTCGCACGCTGGAGATAAAACTCTGCTTTATTTCGAAAAGTGTTGCCACTGCTCGCTTTCAAATCCTGTAGTTTGTTCATAAAATTTTTCTAAATTTTATAATAAAATAACAATAGCATTGCCAAATACACTCATGTCCATAAATTAAGGATAATTCGGAGTCACGCGGAAATCGAACTCTAAAATAAATATATCACCTGTAAAATCACTACACACATCTTCAAGAATCATATGCAAATTTCAGGAAGTAACCAATGACACCGATGGTACTTCACAATGACGAGAGTGTAAGAGAGTGATATATAAGGAATACAGGCAAAGAAGTAAAATTGTTCGCAGGAGCTTCATAAGCATTTCAGGGCAATAACCGAATAGTTATGACACAAAGGACGCATTTGGATGATTTTTTACGTGGTAGAATTATTGGCCGTCAGGAATGTGGGCGTACCCAACTAGAAGTATCAGACGAACTTGGAATTTCCCAAAGTGTCATCTCCAGGCTTCGGCAACGATTCCAAGATGATGGTAATGTGAGTAGACGTTACAGAACAGGTCGGTCCAGAGTTACAACGCCGAATGAGGACCGGTATTTGGCAGTTACTTCCAAAAGAAACAGGCGGAGCACAGCCTCAGACCTATCTCGTCAGCTCTCTTCAGCCACTGGTACGATAATTTCAAGGCAGACCATGTACAGACGCTTAGGGCAGATTGGTCCATATGTTCGTAGACCTGTCAGATGCGTTCCAACTTACTGCAACTCACTGTCGGCTGCAGTAAGCCTGAAGTAGAGAGCATGCATTGTGGACACCGCAACAGTGGGCTTGTGTGATGTTTTCCGACGAGTCTAGGTTTAGCTTGCAGTCTGATTCTCGCCGGACTTTCATATGGAGAGCTCCAGGTACCCGTTACCACCCAGAAAACATCATTGAACGACACCGTTACGGTGGTGCAGGAGTGCTCGTTTGGGGTGGAATTATTCTGGGTTCTAGAACTGACCTGCATGTTCAAATTGGAACCATGACAAGCCAAATCTATAGGGACGTCATTCTGGAACAACATGTACGTTTGTTTCGGGGCGCCATGCGAGCACAATTTGTGTTTATGGATGAACACTTCCGTTCTCACCGTGCAAACATCGTAAGCGAATGCCTTCAATCGGAGGATATCACCCGTATGGACTGGCCAGCATTCTCACCGGACTTAAATCCAGTAGAGTACGTGTGGGACATGCTTGGCCGACGATTTGCAGCCCGTCAACCTCCTCCTAGATGTCTACCGGAACTTCGGAGAGCATTGCTTTTTGAGTGGTGTAATCCTCCAAGATCAGATCGATAATTGATACTCAGCATGCCTAGATGTGTACGGACTGTATTGCATCGTCTGGAGACATATAATGCATTGCTAATTATACCAAACAGTAATATTGTTTTTTTTTTTGTAAAATAGTTTTTTTTTTTTTTTTTTTTTTTTTTGTAATTTTGCTCAGGGAGAGAAAATCGCTAATTTTTTTAATAATATCAAAAATTGTAGCATCTTTTTTTGCTCTTTACCTTTTGTTTAATAAATAAACTTTACAAATAAGTCAAATTTGTAATGCTTCTAACTCTTCCTTTGCCTGATTTTGCATTATCCTTAATTTATGGACATGAGTGTATTAAGTACATTATTCCCGATTCCAAAATTTCGTCAGAAGCTATTTCTACTGTTCCCATCATCGTACGACTTTAATCATCCGAGATATTAATTAAAAACTCTGAAAACACTAATTTTCGCACTTGTTTCTCCGAGTGAAAACAGCCTAACGCTTTAGAGATAAAAATGCTTTATTTCGAAAAGTTTTGCTACTGCTCGCTTTAGTCAAAAACTTATACAAGTTTTAAAGAATCTATATATATAAATAAGAATGTTTGTATGTTTGTTCGCGTTACTGATTTCTGATCATTATAATCAATTTTGCCACATTTAATCTACTAAAATTGGATATAGGTAAAATATTGGATGGAACTTGAGCTTTTACGACCATTTGATTAGAAAGACGAAAATCATTAAAATCTGCGTGCCATTGTTGCTGATATAATAAAAGAGAATTAGTGCATTTTTCTATCGAAAATTTTTAAGTGTATTCCATATTGCATCATACTGACAAATGTGTGACTATGAATCGTATTTTTTGCATCGTTATTACAGAAGATTTACAGGGATATCGTTCTCTCGTTGTTAAAAGCATTACTTCTGAAGCTAACTTGACTGACATTGGGTGCTTACGATAGTATTATATTGTTGCGTTATTTTTCTTCGTTTACGTTACGTACGTACGGGGTTCATGCGAATTTGGAGGGAATAATGACGACAGCACTTGAAGGAATATCGAAACGCACTTTACTGGCCAGTATTTTCCAAGACAGCCAGTATTTTCCAAGACAATTTGTGCTTATGGATGAACACTCCCGTTCTCACCGTGCAAACATAGTAAGCGAATGCCTTCAATCGGAGGATATCACCCGTATGGACTGGCCAGGATTCTCACCGGATTTCATTGGAGAGCTCAGGTACCCGTTACCACCCAGAAAACCATCATGAACGACACCGTTACGGTGGTGCAGAGTGCTCGTTGGGTGGAATTATTCCTGGGTTCTAGAACTGACCTGCATGTTCAAATTGGAACCCTGACAAGCCAATCTATAGGGACGTCTTCGGAACAACATGTACGTTTGTTCGGGGGCCCATGCGACACAATTTGTGTTTATGGATGAACACTTCCGTTCTCACCGTGCAAACATCGTAAGCGAAGCCTTCAATCGGAGGATCTCACCCGTATGGACTGGCCAGCATTCTCACCGGACTTAAACCAGTAGAGTACGTGTGGGGACATGCTTGGCCACGAGTGCAGCCCGTCAACATCCTCTACATGTCTACCGGAACTTCGGAGAGCATGCTTTTTGAGTGGTGTAATCCCCCAGATCAGATCCATAATTTGATAATCAGTGTGCCTAGACGTTGTACGGATTGTATTGCATGGTCTGGGGACATACAATTATTGCTAATTATCCACCCATGTAATATTGGTTTTTTGTAAATAGGTTTTTTTTAGTAATTTTGCTCCAGGGAGGAAAAATCGCTAATTTTTTTTAATAATCAACAGTAGCATCTTTTTTTGCTCCAAATCACGTTTTCAGTCGCGAAGAACTACTATAGACAAGCTTGTAACATCAGCGACACACAGCTTCCAGGCTATAACGGTGGGACAGCTTCACTGCAAAGCACCAGAGTACAGCTCTCGACTTGGCTCAGTCGTTCTTAGAACTCCTCATACTCTCGAGACTCTCCACGCAACAACTGGCGATGCACTCGACGATACACTAGAGTACAGCTGCCGACTATCGGTACAGTCGTTCCGGAGCAACACACTCTCTCAACGATGCACTAACCGCGATACACTAAGAGGCTCTTGCGGTGCACTCGGCACTCACTGACTATCAAATCGATGGACATTTGCACGAAGACTAACTAAACTCCGCGTTCTAGCAAGGTTT